ACTATTTTTGTTGACCTTTGTCCATGGAAGGTCCCTGCAAAATTTCATTGAAATTGGTTCAGGGGTTTTGGAGAAGAAGATTTTTGAAATTTTAGTCAATTTGACCCTTTTTGGCCCCGCTTCTCAGGCCCCTGGGGGCTTAGGACTAAACTGGCAACTATTTTTGTTGACCTTTGTCCATGGAAGGTCCCTGCAAAATTTCACTGAAATTGGTTCACGGGTTTTGGAGAAGAAGATAATTGAAATTTTAGCCAATTCGACCCTTTTTGGCCACGACCCTCAGGCCCCTGGGGGCTTAGGACTAAACCGGCAACTAATTTTGTTGACCTTTGTCCATGGAAGGTCCCTGCAAAATTTCATTGAAATTAGTTCAGGGTTTTTTGAGAAGAAGTCGAAAATGTAAATTGTTTACGGACGCACGACGGACGACGACAAAAGGCGATCGCAATAGGTCACTTGAGACTTTGTCTCAGGTGACCTAAAAAGTTATCAAAAAGTTGAGTTGATATTTTGAAATATTTCTTATTATATTAGCTTATAAATCAAAAAAATAATTTAGGGAAAAAAACCTTGGGCGAAACAACCCTTAGCGCGAATAGGATTTAGGGCTAAACATTAACATGTTATTGATGTTAGTAACAGCTACATCAGGTTGGGGAAAACCACCAACTTGCGTATAATACGCAAACTCGCCTATTATACGCCGATTGGAGTATGGATTTGTAACTAAAAATAACCCAAATCGCTTTAACAGTAACTTTTGCAAGATATTATTAAAAATTGCATTAATTTACGACAAGGTAAATAATATTTTGCTAAAAGATGTTTACTGAAAGCGTTGGCTACTTAGAAACTTGATGTAACTTTACCGGAAGTATTGCATCTATTTTTGGTATTTTCCCACATGCAAATAAAGTTTATTTTTGCATTTGTATTATGTTTCATGACTGAATAAATGCGACTTGGACAAACAAATTGAAAAAGTTAAGATTAAAGTGATTTTGGCTATTTTTAGTAACAAATCCATACCCCTATTGGCGTATACATGTAATAGGCGAGTTTTCGTATTATATGCAAGTTAGTGGTTTTCCCCGACCACATACATAATATACATGTAGTAGTATTAGTCGATTAATTGCTGTGGAAACTCTTTATTCATATCAGAGATGTATTTAACGATTATAAATCTCTGATTTAGATAGAGTTCCCATTAATTTATATAGTGCAGAAGTATGGAAGTGTTATTGTGAAGGTTTGTAATTGTTATATCTTTTCATATCTTCCATCATTTGACATTTCTATCAATCAAGTTACATATGTACTTCAAAACTCAATTAATTTAATATCACTATTCCCCAAAAAAGTCAATATGTATCACCCGTAAAAGATTTGCATTTGCAATCCTGGATCTAATTTTAACAAAGGACGAAAACATGGTTAAAGAAGTAGAGATTAAGGCACCGCTAGGGAAAAGTGACCATGTGGTAATGACATTCGACATCCAATTGTACCTAGACATTAAGGGAACAAAGGGAACCACCTACAGATACTACCAAGGAAACTATGAGGAAATGAGAAAGGAGTTAAAGGAAATGGCATGGGAGGAACTAATGGAAACACAATCAACCCAGGAAGCTTGGGATCACTTTCATGAACAAGTAAATAAGACGATGAAGAAACATGTACCAGTGAGGAAAGTAGATCCGAACAGGAAACCTAGAAGATACTGGGTTACAGATGATTTGATGGAAGCCATTAAAAGAAAGAAAAAACGGTGGGTCAAATATAAACATGTCAAATCAGAGGAAAATTTCCACAAATACCAAGAGGCGAGGAATAAAGCTACTACAGCATGCCGGGAGGCGAAAATGAACTTTGAAAAAACAGTGGCTGAAAATGTGAAAAAGGACAGCAAAAGTTTTTGGAAATATGTACAGACCAAAACCAAAGTCAAGAGAGGACTGGGTGACCTGACTGATGAAAATGAAAACAATGTTTCGGACAACAAGGAAAAAGCCAATCTTCTAAACAAATATTTTTGCAGTGTATTCACTGACGAAAATCTGGAAATAACTCCATTATTTGAAAACCGCAACAATAACATCGAACTAACGGAAGTTCAAATAAACGATAAAATGGTCCTGAATAAACTAGATGAAGTCAAAGTTTCAAAATCCCCAGGGGCTGACGGTCTACACCCGAAGGTCATTAAAGAAATTGGAACCGCAATAGCAACCCCGACCAAAATCATCTTCCAGAAATCTCTCGACGAAGGGAAACTTCCAACCCAATGGAAAGAGGCAAACATAACTGCACTGCATAAAAAGGGAAGCAGGAAACAACCAGCAAATTATCGTCCAGTAAGTTTAACATCAGTCATTGGAAAATGCATGGAAATTTTTTTACGTGATAAAATTATGGAACATTTAGAAAACAACAACCTTCTAACCAAACACCAGTATGGATTCAGAAAAGGTAGATCAACAACCATACAACTACTCGAAGTCATAGAAATTATCACCAAAATTTTGGACAACAAAGAACCAGTGGACATCATATACTTAGATTTTAAAAAAGCCTTTGATACAGTCCCCCACAATCGTTTATTAACAAAGCTTGAAAGATACGGAATTACTGGAAAGGTATTGGAGTGGATAAAAGACTTTCTTATCGGGAGACAACAAAGGGTGATTGTACACGGGAAGGCATCCGATTGGGAGGCTGTAAAATCTGGAATACCACAAGGGAGCGTACTCGGCCAAATCCTGTTTCTAATATTTATTAACGACCTTCCGGAACACATACATACCATCTCTAAACTATTCGCAGATGATGCAAAGATCATTGGAAAGACAGGTTCTGTGGCAGAGAAAGATTCAATTCAACAAGATCTGAACAACGTTACAAAGTGGTCTGATAAATGGCAGATGTCATTCAACACCTCAAAATGTAAATCAATGCATCTGGGACATAGTAACCAGGAAAACAACTATTTAATGACAATCAACGGAAGCTCGACCAAAATATCACAAGTCAAGGAAGAAAAGGATTTAGGAGTCACATTCGACAAGGACTTGAAGTTCAGCAAGCACATATCAGGATGTGTAGCAAAAGGTAACCAAATTGTTTGGAACCCAATCTACAAAAGAGATATCATAGCAGTCGAAAACGTGCAACGTAGGGCGACAAAATTAATTAAAGCTCTAAGAAACAAGACATACAGGGAAAGACTACTAAATCTAGGAATTCCGACGCTCCAATATAGAAGGAAACGGAATGATATGGTACAGACGTTCAGAATTCTACCGGAAATAGATAAAGTAGAGAAATCCAAGTTCTTCGAACTAGATGATAACACCAGAACTAGAGGACACCAGTGGAAGCTGAAGAAAGTAAGGAGTAGGATAAACTGTAGGAAAAATTGCTTCTCCAACAGAATTGTGAATGATTGGAATAACCTGACAAGCATGGTAGTGACTGCAGGAAGTCTGAACATTTTTAAATCCAGACTGAATGAACACTGGAAAAATCTACCTATTAAATTCACACCTGATTGTTATTAGCTCCAGAAAGGCAAATAACTCACAGAAAAGCATACGTTATAATTTAGTGATACTGTATCGCTAATTTAACAAATGCAACAAAATTAGTTATTGGGGGTATTAATGAAACTTATGATAACCAACATAATGAAGTTAGGAATATTCCACAAATCAGTAATTGTAGCGGTTAGAGAACCGGCTTAAATACCCATAGAGAAGTAAGAGACGAGTATGATCGAACCGCATTCAAATTCAAATAGAGCGTGGAGACTTCTTGAATTCCAGAAGGTGTCGCTTACCCTAGTGTACATGGTGGAAAAAACGGACAATGGAAGGGTAGTAACATTATTTGCTATCTCAACAACCTTGGAAAAATGAACATTAAGATCACGTGCTTATCAGCAGTTAATGTTGCTGACAGCGGGTTAGTGAAATTGTTTCGCTACCAAACACGTCTGTATATATATCAGGAATTTTAACTGTACAAAAAAATATAATCAACACACTAAAAATCGTTAGTGTGAACGAACTTTTAACTCTTTAAACTTGTCACCAACAAATATGCGCATACCATAAAGTATCGATGACAACAAGATATAGGACAGTCTCACAAGTCTAAGACTTACAACGACTGGAAGAACAGTGCGAAAAGGGTGCCTTAAGCTTACAAGCGTCAGCTGTAGGGAAATGTCCCTTTAGCTCAGCGATAGGGAATCGGGCTGGAGATGAGAGCCAAGTGTCGCGGGTTCGAGCCCCAGCGACGGCACTATCTTTATCACAAATCGTATGTCCATCATGCCCCCCATGTTGATTATATATTTGTATACTTATGCCACATCATGCTGTAACCGGAATGGGACAAGGCTTATATAGACTTAAGCCTGTTGTCTAATCCTTTTGGAAACAATAAAACAACTTGAATTGAAATTAAGATCTTAGTCTTACCATCTTATCAAGCAAATTTCTGTCCCCAACACCATTGCATGTTAAATTGTAGACCTACATAAGGTTAAATAAAGCTTATGTTGTTCAAACATAATCATGATAATGATCTGACAACCTAACAACAGACTTACAATCTAAAGTCTTCCTGCAAAATGCACCATCGTCTCAACTGAGGTGAAAGGCAGCCATTTTGAATCCGTCAAGCTACATAATCACCCCCAGGCATATGAAAAAGTAATTTTGACTGTTAGGATCAGATATATTTTCGCACTCGGAATTTTTAGATATTCCGGGTCAATTTCTTCACCCTTTTTATATCAATATATCAATTGAACAAATGTTTGCTATTATTGAGAAACTTTCTAGGCGTAATCAAAAGTAAATAGCACGAGATTCGGCTGCCTTTCTTTTTACGTCATCGACTGCCTTTCTCTTTACGTAGTCTATTTTATTTTGGTGAGGTTTATCATAGACCTAAATTAACGGGACCTTTACTTTAGGTCTCTGGGTTTATATATAGTACCTCTCCTTCCAACTGAAGAATCACAACATAGGCCTACACTGTACGTTAAGCGGTAAGTGTCAATGTAAACTGCTTAATTACATAAATAATTGTCAATCACAACAGTCATAGCTATGGAAAAAACCTGAAGGGCCACCGGTTTTGACATTCTAACATTCTCTCGTGGACCTAAATACCGGCATAAACCGCTCGATAATATTCTCCACGGCATAGGGTCATGTCAAAGAAAAAAGAACATTTTGTTAATCTGGGACTTTCAAGTGCTTAAAATGCTTGCATGAATTAAGAGGCTCGGTAACCAAAATGTAATTAAGATCGTGTGGGTGAAAATAAACTCAATTGAAGGGAGGTAACTGGTACACGTATAACAATTCCGTGACTGTACATAACCTTAATGGTTTTTATGTAAAGGTTTTGCACTTAAGTTCTAAATTCATTATTTGAATCTATGTGCATTAAACATGAACAAAGTTCCAACAAGAAATTCCCCACCGAAGACTTTTTCGACCGTTCCAACATGAAGCTCTAGGATCGACATAATCAATGAGAATGGCAAAAAACTTCTTGTCATAATGTAGTAATTTGGTTATATTATGGGTGTATTCACAGACAAGGCTAGTACCTGTGGCTAGAACCTGTGGACAGACTGTATTCCGTCTTTGCGTATTGCAGAGTTATCCTCTCTTGTGTTACGTCATTTGTTTGTGAGAGGAACGTCATCAATTTTTGAGAAAACGACGTCATTTTCTCACACAAACCAATGACGTAACAATCAATACCTGCTCACAAGAGAAGATAACTCTGCAATACGCAAAGACGGAATAGTTGACCTGATGGGATATGAAAATAAAAATTAAAAACGAGCCACTGTATCATGCAGTTTTTATTTTTATTATTATACAGGTTCATTTAACAGTTTCCATTTACGCATAAGGTGCAATGGTAAAGTATTTGTAAGCTTCACCCTGGCTGTTCCCTGCTATGCACCTGTAAGTGCCGTAATTTGACTTCCTGAATCCAATAATATGTAGCTCCAAACCGACCAAACTCAAGTTGTCTGGAGTATTGCTCTAAAATAGAGAAGTACAATGTTAAGGGTAGCCTTAAAACAATTCCGTCTTTGCGTATTGCAGAGTTATCTTCTCTTGGGAGCAGGTATTGATTGTTACGTCATTGGTTTGTGCGTGAAAATGACGTCGTTTTCTCAAAAATTGATGACGTTACTCTCACAAACAAGTGACGTAACAATCAATACCTGCTCCCAAGAGAAGATAACTCTGCAATACGCAAAGACGGAATAGCATGTAACAAGTATCGCTGATTAACACTTGCTATTTTAGCAATCCAAAGTACAGCCAATCTGTTATTGCAGTTAAAATACAATTCCTTTATGTAAATGTATACTAAGGGAGTGGTGTGTTAAGTAAGTACTGTATATCGATTAACGCACCATAGATAAAACGAGAATACCGCCAAGGTTACAGCTAAAACAATTTTTCTGTTAAAATGAGATTACCGCAAAGATGACGGCTAATACAGGTCCTTCACTAAATTGAGATAACCGCTAAGCTTTCAGCTAATGTCAATTTCCGCTGAGTTGAAATAACGATTAGGATTTAGGCTTTTACAGGTTTCCCACCTAAATAAGATTATCAATAAGATTGCAGCTTTTACCAAATGTTCCCTAAATTGTTCCCACTGCGAGTTCAGCTTACTCAGGCTTTCCGCTATATAAACAGGGTTTCCGCAAAAAATGAGATAACCGCTAAGATTACAACTGATACAGTTTTCCGCTGAAATAAGGTAACCGCTTAAATAAGAATATAGCCTAAATTTAACAGATATATAGCAATTCTACCTTAATAAGAATGCCCCTTTTATACGATTACCGTTAAAATGAAAATACTGGTAAAATATGAATACCGTTTAATTAAATGCAACTGCAGCTGATTACGGGAACGTATTCAGATAGATAATAAAAAGATAAAAATTAATAAAGCCCCTTTTAAAAATTACAAAGTCTATTAAGAAACAATAAGAAACATTATAAAAAAATGTATTGCTCGATATGTTCATTATTCACTTAGCGCAAAATAATAACATAATGTTAGAAATTAATACAGACAAACATAGCAAAAGGGCGGATGTGCCTGTTAGACCTGGATAACGTTACGACACTACACTATTTGGCTATAGTAAATACTTATTCTAACAATAGGCGAAAGTTTAACGTTTGGAGAGCAAGCAAAAATGCAGCATAGTCTTACTGAGGTAAGGAAAGTCCAGGAGATTGTTGGAGTTGGATGTCCAGAAGCCATGCAGAGCAGTCTAACGTTGGACCCGATCCGTGCGTGATGTACATTAGTGGAGTATACTATCACTGGCTTCGATACTGTCAACAAGAAATGGTTTGGTTTAATTAACAGTTAAAATATGGGTATGAGGGATATAGCAAGTTTATGATCCCCCGAGGCCAGGACTATTTCCCGAGGCGAAGCCGAGGGAAAGAGTCCTGGACGAGGGGAATCATAAAATTGCTATATCCCGAAATACCCATACTTCAACTGTTTTATTATACCGATACAAACACTCACTTACAATATTCTAAATATTATTAGACAACAAATGTTCAACAGATGGGACACTTTATTAACAAAACTGAAATTGCCGACGTAATTCGATTGCGCTGATTGGTCAATATTCGGTCAATTTCCCGCATTTTCCGAGGGAAATAGTTTCAAAACTATCGCAACCCTCCAGACGAACTATTTCCCTGGCATGCTATTAGAGGGAAAATAGCTTGTTTATGTGGTTACTTTTGTATAGTGTAAAATAAGTAGAGGTATAATAATTTTGTTTAACGTCCTATGAACAGCTAAGGTCATTTAAGAACGTGCCCCCATGTGTGAAATGTATGCGAGCTTGCGTGTGTGTATGCCGGAGACAGGGTATGTTGTTGTGCTTGCCCCCTTGTGAAAGCGCGGATCTGATGCCGGCTTTATAGTGCTATCTCACTGAAATATCATGCCGAAGGCACCCAGAACAGCATACCGCCCGGTCACATTATACTGACAAGGGGTGAACCAGTTGTTGCCATTCCTCTTAATATTAAACGTTAAGCAGGGAATAACAACTATCATTTTAAGGACTTTGGTATGTCCCGGCCTGGGGACAGAACCCATTGCCTTCCTCACCTGGGCGAACGCTCAGTATTAAGGCAAAAAGTGAGGTGTGTCTAAGCAAGGCGTCAGGAAATAAAAGGCAGTTAGAAGTACAAAGAAAGATAAAGATCCCAAATATTCCAATGGGTGCAGCAGATTTATTTTGGTCGCTTTTGTGTCCCCAAATAGAGGACAACAAAGCAAATCCCCAATTCTGCAGGGGGTTCCCACATTAGTCGCCTTCTTCGAAACACGCCGTGAGTAACAGGTGTATTCTTTTCCCGATCCCCTACCTGCAGGGGTGGCCAACAATAAAGGACATAATTATATTCCATTATATATAATATATAAAGTAGCAGAGCGAACTAATTCACAGTATACGGCACTGATGGATATTATATAAGTGGTCGTTTGGATTGCTGTTTGTAAATGCTAATATGTAAGATTGAAAGTTGTGTCGTTTCCCCTCAATTACAATAGGAGCCGAGGAGCGGGGCTCAATATGGGGAAATCGCTGGATTTAAGCCTTTAAAGACTACCTCTCCTGAAGAATTACACAAAGTGTTACCATATTTTGTCTGAAACATAAATGGGGCAATATTGTCACATTTTGATTAAATGGAATTCATAAAACCCCTGTGGCCAGAGGTGCATGGCTTAAGGTGCGCCCGAAGTGAGGCTAATTTAGACAAAACTAAATTGTCCCCCCCCCCCCCCCCCCCCCCCCCCCCCCCCCCCCCNTTTCCTTTAGGGGGGATTGCGATTTCCTCATTATTCCCTAGAAGGCGACAAAAAAGAAAAAAAAATCTACCGGAAGACCACACACTTGTTGCCTTTTTTCGATCATGAATAGATAAAATCTAAAATATATCAGCCGTTAATTTGGGTTTCTTTAATATTCTCGAAAAAAACCAAGACGAAAACCGTGGATTCTGCAGGGAGCAAACAAAACTTGCATCTGTCGACTCTGCAGTGGGATACGGCAGGACTAATCATTCCCCGAATTGCATGGATTTCCAATTCCGTCTTTTCGTATTGCAGAGTTATCTGCTCTTGTGAGCAGGGATTGATTGTTACGTCATTGGTTTGTGAGAGTAACGTCATCAATTTTTGAGAAAATGTAATTTTCTCACACAAACCAATGACGTGACAATCAATACCTGCTCACAAGAGAAGATAACTCTGTAATATGCAAAGACGGAATAGGAGAAGACATGTTGAACATACAGTAAATATATGGAAGTACGACATCACGACTCATCAAACACATTTTTTGAAATTATATCTTATGACTTCAGAATAGCTTAATAGCATATTTCAAACTGCTGACCCTGTCATACCCATGATGCAATGTTAACGTCACAGACTCAATGATTTACGTGACGTCATTGCATTTTTGATGTTATACCATACACGGGAGACACGGTAGTCTAGTTGTAGGACGCCGGGCTCGTGACCGAAAGGTTGCGGGTTCAAGAACGGCACGGCCGCACTGTTTTGAATCTTTGAACAAGATACTTTACTCTGCTTTTTCTATTCTACTCTGCTGTAAATGAGTACTTGGTTGGGCAGTGCTAGAATTGTTGAATGCTAGCTGTGAGCGCCGAAATGGCAGCACCGGCTGTATGCTTCCCAGGGACTTGAGAAAGATATTGACTGGTTTCAAAGGCCCTATAACCACGGATAATAATTTGTGAACCGCTTTGAGACGACCTGCAAACTAGATTGTGATAAAGCGGTATATAAGAACCTCGAATTATTTTTATATTATTATACAGCTGTTTTGACTAAGGATAATTCAGACCGGTAAATGTGTCCAGTGTAAGAGAAACAAGGTTCTTACAACAAATTAATAAGAGAGACACGATGTGATACTGTAGCAGTTTGTATATAACTTACGTTGTGGCGACGATGTGGTGGCAGGCGTTGTGGTAGCTGATACATGTCGGTGAAACGTAGACAGAATCATTGAAAAAGAATTAAACAATATTTACAAAATATAAAGGAAATGACTAAACCATACAACTGTGTTTATAAACAAACCTCGACATTAACTTTTCAATTAATAAACAAATGACATATTTGTATCTCATTATTTCTATATATATATATTATCATAAACAACAGTTCATAGAGAAAAAAAGATAAATGATAAAAACAATTGTCACTCTCAGTCCAAATATTTCGGCCTTCTGACGTTCATAAAGGACGAAGGTCAACGATTAAGGTTAATGTAAAGTTACAAAAGGTCATAATTTCTTGAATTTTACCTCGATAGCCCTAATTTTGGTATCACTACGATCCTTAGGATATGAGTAACAGGATGTATTAGCTTTCAGTTACGTTCAGTTCGTTAATATTGTTTTAATTGCATTAATTACACGTTATGCAGGAAATAACATATCGATCTATACAAAACAGAGTCGATTTGCAAGGAAATATCAGTCAAAATCTTCCTTAGAACTCATTTTAGGTAGTGGGATTGTTGAAAGTTAACAAAACTGCTCCAAAAGACTGATAACACAACTTCAAAGTCAAGTCATAAGTTAATTTCACCACAAAAAATCAGCCATATTGGAACTTCTTTTGTAAAACTATGGAGGCCCATGTAGTGTTATACCATTACCAAACATCAAATTTGTCTAAAACCACCTTTTTAACCGAAAAATAGTGCATGATATGTATGTTATGGTTTGTTAAAAAAAAGAGTCATTAACAAATATTAGATCACAGTAGCTGATTTATATTGATAATTACATTAATTAGCATATAACATACACATACAAGACATTTGAATCATCGTATAAAACAGTAAACCCAGTATCACCTTATTATATGTCAACGGAATAGTAGGGTGGCGATAATGTGGCATATATATAAGTTACTTGGTATATTTGTAATTTTTGAATAAAAATAAATACCAATCATTCAATGAAATTGACATAAATTCCATACATAAGATTTCAAGTTGATGTATTGTGATATCATTTTATCGGTTGGATCATGTGTCAAATTTCAATTTGATTACCGTTCATCATTATTGAAGCTTTTGGAATAATCGCATTTCTTCCAATGTAATCAAGACATTGGCATATTTACCAATTTACATATCCGTAAAACAATATTCTCTGCAAGTTTCTGCCAACTAAATCAGTCAAGTTTTACTTTCGCGATGGGCTACTCCAGTACGATTTGAGAGTTCCAGTACATCACACGAGAGTGTTCAAACTTTGGAATGTTGCTTGACATGAAGTTGCAGACGTGAAAAAAAGATTAGATGCCTTTTGCTTAGTGAGGAAGATACCACGACAACATCATCCCATTGGATATCACCATATCATAATTGTAGCTACCAATATTTACAAACACACAATGATGGGAAAACTGTCAGGCAATCACGTAATCCTGCAAATAGTCAATTCTGTAACCCTTGTCATCCCCTCCATAGATATTTCTATACACTGCATCATGAAATCCATCATTCCTATAAAACTGAGTACTCTACAGTTGTAGATTGCCACTTTGTGTGTTTCAATGTTCTCTGGTGGAAAATGAGTCGTTAGACAAATTTCATTCAATGTTCTTCGTGCATTTCTGGAATAGACAATATCCATTCATTGAGGTTGACGAGCATCTATTCCCAGTACATTACATGCAGATGTAAACACTTTGGAATGGGTGGGTCTTTAGAGCTTCCTCCTCACATGTTCACGGCAATGTTGTTAATTGACATGTGCTTCTATGGCTTCAATTAGTTGTGCTGCACACCTGTGTTATAAAATAAATAAAAAGTTATCATTTATGTTAACTAATTGGTATTCAATGTCTATTAAAAATTCACATTCAGATTCTTTGCAGACTAATCTCTTTTACCAAAGCATACTAATGGCGCCTTTTTGAGTGCTGCTTCACTGAAATGCAATGCAGTAGACACTTTTTATTGACACTTTAAACAGTAATATAAATAATCGGTTTTTCAATAAAAACATTCAATTTCACATGAAAGAACATATGCATTGACCAAAATGTGCCAAAAACTTGTAAATCTGTTTTGAACCAAAAATATTTTTGCCTTCATTTCACATTTCCTTTTTGTGTCACTTGTCAAAATACAACACACAAATCTCGTCTTACCAGGACATCGACTCAAGCAATACATTATCTATGTTTACTTTATATGTAAATTACAACTGTATTCTATCCCAAAAAACATACTTCTGCATCTCGGCGTTTTCTCCTCAGCTTCATGTTGTTGACGTCTGATGCATATTGCCGGAAGTGACGCCGCACAAACAGTCCGATCTTGGATATTATGATTTCTTTTTCTGTAGTAATACTCCTACATTTGTGTAATTCAATTCGGCATCAAAAGTATTTTATTAATTAAGGAATTATACTCTTGTTTTGATAACTATGACAGAAAATATTGTCATTTTTGTAAATTGACTGCGGAGCGATATCGCCATGTCGTTCGGTACGAAAATCTTACGAAAAGGAAGAAAGTTGGTCTGAATATGGACAAAAGACCTGGTTACGACATGTGCTAATTATTAATGGTTTATTCGATATCAACGCAGTCTATTTCGTGTCGTTTGGTGTTTGATGGACGCACCGATCGCTTGTGATTGTGACGGAAATAATCACCATTTTTTGACAGCTAAAAATAAAAATGGCGGCCTCCATTGGACAACACGATGACTTTCGATTTAACCCAAATCCATGTATGGATGTTTAAACATAATTTACTTCATAGGAGTACCTCACTGTATATACTATCTTATTTTTGCCAAAGTTTCAATTATCAAACATGAATAGGTTATCAGTTCTAATTTCCCCCCAAAATAGTGGCAAAATATTCACGAGTCACTCATTTATATTTCCAATAACACTATTTATTGAGTGCGTGGCAAACGTTCAATCATGGCTATAGGGAGTTTGAATTAATAACTTCTAACATTGAAAACGACAATTCAGCACATCTTGTAATAAATGTAATATTTACACATGAAATAAAGGGACCTGAAGGTCAATTATTAGTGTTTACATGAACCTCAACGTAACTTGAATCCATCGTTGTCTTTGCCCTATATTAATGACAGGAGGCCGAAATGTTGGAACTGAAAGTGACAATTGTTTTATCATTTAGACTTCATCTTGTTCGACAGAAATACACCAACCCTGAGTGCTAGGGACAGATGCTACACTGAGGCTCACAACTCTACTGTCAGAGCCCATGGCGTTGGACGCCATGCAGATATACAGTCCGGCGTTCTCGGGTAGGAAAGTAGCGATGTACATCGCACGCCCACTGTCCATAATATAGGTGTTGTTTGGCTTTCTGCTAAGTCCACTAAAGTGCTAGAGAATGAAAACAAATCATGTAAATGTTATTAGGAGCCACATAAAACGGGAGACTTTATGGTAAGTATGTGTTGTGTTGTTTCGTATTCCGTCTTTTCGTATTGCAGAGTTATCTTCTCTAGTGAGCATGTATTAATTGTTACGTCATTTGTTTGTGAGAGTAAAGTCATCATTTTTTGAGAAAACGACGTCATTTTCTCACACAAACCAATGACGTAACAATCAATACCTGCTCACAAGAGAAGATAACTCTGCAAAGACGGAATAGGGAAATAGGGAGATCTCAACTAATTAGTTCCTGGCGACCATGTTGAAATACATCCACTGGTTGTAATTTGATATTATAACAAACATAATGTTAAAATGAGTATAAGAAAATAGTACTGTTAACATACGTATTTCAGTGCACTGACATTTTAGCGAATTATCGACTTATAACAGATATTTTATTCAAATGAATTTGTGCACTCACAATGTACATGGGCGTCTAGAATCGCCTTTAAATAATGTACATACTGTTCAAAATATTCGATCACGTATCAGTATTGGTCATACATATATACTAACAAATACGTATAAATTCACATTTTTGATTTAAAAATTAAACTTCCGGATATTCTTGTCCGTACTCTACTCTAATTATTATTGTATTACAATCTGATTTCCGGTTTGAGTGCTTATTCTCCCATCCTCGATATCCAGGAGTTACGCTCCCTTTCGCTCTCTTCACCCCTGGAATATGTCATGGCAAAATTGAAGGCACGAATATAGCTGTTTGATTGGTCTCAGGTAAAAAAAAACCTGACCAATCGCTAGGCTGATACCTCTCCTTTGAAGATTACAAAGGAGAGACGCCCAACTTCAAAGCCTGTCAATGTTTACCGTTACATGACCGCGATTTTCTTTTGATGTACATCAAAGGATCGAACTAGTCTTCTTGTCTCATCAACAAGGTGGCGCACACCGAGCCTTCAATTTTGCCATGACATATTCCAGGGGTGTAAGAGCGAAAGTGTGCGTAACCCCTGGATATCGAGGATGTTATTCTCCACGCAGATAGGTATTCTCTTTATTTAATTGTCTTATCAATTGTCATATAAAATCAGAGAGATCTCGAGGTATTGACTTCTGTTGAAAACATTGATCCATGTCTAGCAATTACAATCCATTCGAGCATTCCATTTTGAAATGGCGTACTTTTATTTTATTATTATGACCAAAAAATTAACCTCAGGATGTGGTGATGTGAATTTAATATGATAAATCTCAATTAACTTATTCCAAACATATCTTCTGGTTGCAATTTTAAAAACAAAGCCATAATTGATTCTAACTTAACACCATGCTAGACTATACTGTATGTAGCGGATTTTATATAAGGGTCCATGTAAATTATTGAACGAGTTTGATACATTTAATACGACATGGAAACGATTGTAAGATTCTATTTATCACATAACATTTGAAGAAAAAACATAATGTGTTATCAGCTGACTCCATTTAGGTTAAAAGCAAAGAACTCCGATCATAGTATTGTCATTCCGCGTAATGCAAAGTAGTTCTAAATTAATTGAATAGAAAAGATTAAAATTTATCGGAACAAAAATGCAGTTAATAAAGTTTATAATTTTGATAAACTGCAGTACCTTTAGGGTTTTATAACACGTGTGTATTACAATATTTATGACATGGCCGTATGTCGGTTATGTGATAAGTTGTGTTTACCGTGACACCCCAATTGATGCTCGGCCAGGGATTCCCTCCGGCCGCACAGTGAAGGTATATTGATGCTCCTGGTATAACTTGCTGGGATGAGCTAATATCGGTTATGAACGGTTTGCTGACTACAAAATACCATCGAGATAACATTAATAGTTTATTTATTAGCCTTCTGTCATCATAACAATGACGAATTAACAAAAACAAAAAAAAAGGAAAAACATTTTTTTTTTTACATCAACCATCACAGAAATACAGTCAAACTTTTACTAACTTATAAGAGACTACTCTGTATTCAATTCATTAGTAAATTAAAAATAAACATGAAAAAAATAAAACAGAAATATAGTCAAACCTGTCATAACTTATAAGAGACCACTCTGTATTCAAATCAATAGCTAATGATTTTACATCAAACATCACAGAAAACAGCCAAACCTTTATCAACACACAACGCTTGATAAGTTCGAAAAGTGGTCTCTTAATACAGTTTTGATTCACATTGATCTTTGGGAACATTTAAAGTTGCCTCTCAACAGAGGTGGCCTTTAAATGGAGGTTGTTGCATAAGCAGGTTCGACTTTGTCAGGTGTCCACGATATTAAAAAAAAATAAAAAAAATTGTACTTATATTAACATTGAGAGACAGGGGATTGAAGCGGTGTTTAACTTAATATTAAACCGATAATCAACTTGAAATATTTCACAATGTTTGTTCAACTTAAACAAACATCATTTATGCCTTTCCATTCATAATAAGAATAAAGATCACAAGATAAGTGAATAAAAAAGGCCAATCAAAGGCGACAGTTTTATTTATTTTACTGATAAAGCCACCATGTAGCTTCTATCAAAAAATTATAATTATTCTTACAACACATCGATACAAAGTAGTTGCCAATCTACCAAACATGGTAGCAACTACAACCAATATCAATGAAAATATATCAAAACAACAACAGCTAGCCTATGTGTGGTTGCAACAAAAAATGCTATGTAAAATACTGGCGATGAGGATACTTGTGTACTGGTCGAAATGTAGATGTTTGGAAGTTGATGGGTTTTAGATATCATCTAGATATGCTGTTATAATTTGCAAGATCGATCGCTGTCTTACGAGCAAAGGGACGCAACCCAATCGCAGGTCATTTCGACCAATTAGGGGCCAGCATCCGGCTCTTGTCATCAGCAGCCAATCAATAACCTTCAGTATTTACAGAGCCTGTTAAGGTGTCTTGTGCTATAACATTGTAGCATGGAATGTTGCTGACTTTATGCCAATTCTCATTAAAACTAATAAAAGATTTGATATAATTTTAATAAATCTTGTCATGGTGTTATGAGCACATTTTAAGCTAATTGTTTAGCTGTCTTTTATCAGTACATACCATTTAAAGGTGTATAATCATGAAGTTCTAGGGCCCAAAAATGGATGATAAATATACATAAACTACTGTTGAAACGAAACGGAACGGATGCGTAAATCCCTTGATTATTTGAACTCCTCATCTATGAGACGTTATAATCTAACATCTTGTGAAGATGCAATAGAACATAGATACACGAGACACACACGATACACTAATATACATAATTCACACATATTAAACGTACATATAGTAGCAGGTGACGTAGGTGGAGTCGTAGACGACGTCGTTGTTGACGTTGATGACGTCAGTGTTGTCGTTGATGACGTCGATGTTGTCGTTGATGACGTCAGTGTTGACGTTGATGTAGATTGAGTTGTCGGTATTACTGCTGAAACTGAACAGTTGTCGTTACAAAAGTTGGCGTCGTTACAACATGACCCACAGTCTGGCGAGAGTCTTTTTCCTATAAGAGAGACTGGCGCCACCATCGCTATTGCCCCCTTGCATTCCTGGAATAAAATAACTACATAAATATGCTTTCTTTCCTTTATTGATTCGAGAATAGAAATATTTGCATACAATTATTTTATATACAGTAGAATAGCGTATTGAATCAAGTTTTGTTATACATGTTTCCTTATTTGTCATCTTTAGATTGCTTTGGTGTATTGGTCAGTTTCATTCTTTTTCATCTTTAGATTGTTTTGGTGTATTGGTCAGTTTCATTCTTTGTCATCTTACGATTGCTTTGGTGTATTGGTCAGTTTCATTCTTTGTCATCTTTCGATTGCTTTGGTGTATTGGTCAGTTTCATTCTTTGTCATCTTTCGATTGCTTTGGTGTATTGGTAAGTTTCATTCTTTGTCATCTTCAGATTGCTTTGGTGTATTGGTCAGTTTCATTCTTTGTCATCTTTAGAGTGCTTTGGTGTATTGGTCAGTTTCATTCTTTGTCATCTTTCGATTGATTTGGTGTATTGGTCAGTTTCATTCTTTGTCATCTTTAGATTGCTTTGGTGTATTGGTCAGTTTCATTCGTTGTCATCTTTTGATTGATTTGTTGTATTGGTCAGTTTCATTCTTTGACGTTTTATGATATGTATATAAGGCCAGCTCTGAAATATATTACGCGTACTGGTTACGCTGACTAAATTGGTACAGAAATCTGCATTTTCATTCGCGTTTAAGATGTTTGCGTAGGAGATGCCGCCACAAGCATTGTTACGTCACAGTTACAAGATTGTCCAACTAAAAATCACGTCCATGCCCGTTGGTCAAAGGTTGCTTACATTTTCCAGAGGTCAGGGAAAATTTGAAAAACATCAAGATTATATAACATCGTTTCAATGCTGTATAGTCGGTTAGACAATAACACTGAATGCGTTTCGATGATTTATTTAGCTTTGAAACCCTTTGTGTTTTAGTGTTGACCAATTGAATTTTTCATTGACAACTGGTTAAAATAAACAAACCTTTTAGCAAACGGGGCCATGTTGTTATCTTCATTTTAGTTAATGAGATATTAACCAACTCATTGTATGTTTTTCTTATGCAATTAATTTGTTATCAATTTGCTTGAGTATGACCTTGCAATATTAATTAAGTTAATTTACTTTTCTCTTGGTAATATAATATGATTACCCGTTTCATAAAATTCTAACCATCATGGGTTTACTTACCTAAAAGTTTTTTACGGCAAGATTTAACTTTGTGTCTATGGGAATGAAGACACAGTATAATATGTATGTAGGAATATAATTAATATATCTCAACAATTGAGCCACGGATAATAATTTATAAATATTACCAGTGGAAACACCTGATAAATGCCTAAGAGGATGTGAAGTTTTATCAAACAAAGTCATGAAAAGTTTATTTTTGATAAAGTAAAGTAACATAGAATCCAATAGGGAAATGACGTAACGTAAAAGATAGATAACACATTCTCTGACACTGTTAAGTATGGAAAAGCATAAGTATAAGTAGCTTTTAACAGAGGTAATGATGTATATGTGATAACGTAGAATGATAACGTGTTGATGTCGAGTTAGATGTGATTTGCCATTGTTTATTGTAAACACAATTTACCTACAAGACTAAATCTGCATTATTGAAGCAGTATTTACCTTTGCATCGTTTCCACATCGGCTTTCCCACACCCTGGAACCGCTTAAATGGTTTAGCTTCTGACCCAAGTAACATTGCTTTATAACGAAGAAAGTTTGAACTAGTAAATTATAAATAAACAAAACTGAAAGCAGATAAATAATATCAAAACTGAAATTAAAATGATCATAATAGCGAGTGAAGTGGCAACATAATAAAGAAGATGACATCATAACCCCCCAAAACTCACTAGTGAAGTGATGGCAGTGGCCAAACATTGCCCATAAACCCCCAAAACTCACTGGTGAAGTGCTCGCAGTGGCCAAACTTTGCCCATAAACCCCCCAAAACTCACTGGTGAAGTGCTCGCAGTGGCCAAACATCATACAGTAACATGTTTTACATAAAGCCGGTATGGCATAGAATAGGTATTGTGTTTATTACATCATATCATATCACTGTGTATTATTATATACTATTATTATGGATTAGTATTACATAAGGCGGGTATGATAATAACAGTAAGCAAGGTTCCTGTCTATCTACTGATGATACTGACCTGTTTGGTGGGACATCTCGTGATTCTATCGCATTGGTTCGGGGACGACATTTGGTCACAGTTGTAGCATAATATATAGCCGTTTGTATCAAGTGCTGTATAAAGGTGAAATAGAATAAGAACTGAATGTATGACATAATAACAAATAAAAGATGACGCATGAAGTGTATAGATTGTGTAGTGGCACTAAATCAGTAATGAGTTATGGGCATTGGGCCTCGACAAAAGTCCATTAACGGTAAATTTCAATAAATACTGAAATTTGATACATCCTTACATCAAAATCTCTCAACATCGTTACTTAAGGAATGCGTTACATGGCTCATTATATTTAAAGTAAAACATCGTTACACTGCCACCATTTTCCCGGAGATTCTTTTGCATTATAAAGGATTGTGCGATAAATTGAAGGATATGTATAAAGTAATTCTTACGAAAAAGAGAAAAAATGACATTGAAATATGTTGGCGATAAACGAAGGGGCCAATGAAACGAAGGGGCATTTTATTGAAGTTTTGAATTTATATTTTTAATATTGTGCCAGTGATTGTTTTTTTTCTTGTTTTAATTACATTATTTAAAAAAACACATCAACTTTGTGAACATTACTTATAATTGGTATATACTTTTTCAATTTATCTGTTTTTGCCAATTTATTTCTTAATTTGGAACACGTTTCGAAAAGCTTAAGGTGAGTTCATAAAATTCAAGAAATGACTGGATGAACAAAAGACTGAACGTGTATCAGAGTATGTTGCATATAAAATATGTATATACACATGTGCATGTACTTTTTTCATTATCACTGACAATATTTTCAGAACACAATGTAAAAGATATCGTAGTTTTTGTTAGAACAGTTCTCATTGCAAATTGTTGTCTTTATGAATAAGATAAATAATCAATGCGTTTTTTTTAATAACTTGCCGATATTTTTATGAGAGTTATGATAGCTCTGATGAAATATTGGTAGTCGTATTCATGTGTAAACAGAGGATGAAAATATTGGTAGTCGTATTCATGTCTAAACAGAAGATGTAAATATTGGTAGCCGTATTCATGTGTAAACAGAGGATGTAAATATTGGTAGTCGTATTCCTGTCTAAACAGAAGATGTAAATATTGGTAGCCGTATTCATGTGTAAACAGAGGATGTAAATATTGGTAGTCGTATCATGTGTAAACAGAAGATGTAAATATTGGTAGTCGTATTCATGTGTAAACAGAAGATGTAAATATTGGTAGTCGTATCATGTGTAAACAGAAGATGTAATTATTGGTAGTCGTATTCATGTGTAAACAGAGGATGTAAATATTGGAAGTCGTATCATGTGTAAACAGAGGATGTAAATATTGGAAGTCGTATCATGTGTAAACAGAGGATGTAAATACTGGTAGTCGTATTCATGTGTAAACAGTGGATGTAAATATTGGTAGTCGTATTCATGTGTAAACAGAAGAAGTAAATATTGGTAGTCGTATCATGTGTAAACAGAGGCTGTAAATATTGGTAGTCGTATTCATGAGTAAACAGAAGATGTAAATATTTGTAGTCGTATCATGTGTAAACAGAGAATGTAAATATTGGTTGTCGTATTCATGTGTAAACAGAGGATGTAAATATTGTTAGTCGTATTCATGTGTAAACAGAGGATGTAAATATTGGAAGTCGTATCATGTGTAAACAGAGGATGTAAATATTGGGAGTCGTATCATGTGTAAACAGAGGATGTAAATACTGGTAGTCGTATTCATGTGTAAACAGTGGATGTAAATATTGGTAGTCGTATTCATGTGTAAACAGAAGAGGTAAATATTGGTAGTCGTATCATGTGTAAACAGAAGATGTAATTATTGATAGTCGTATTCATGTGTAAACAGAGGATGTAAATATTGGAAGTCGTATCATGTGTAAACAGAGGATGTAAATACTGGTAGTCGTATTCATGTGTAAACAGTGGATGTAAATATTGGTAGTCGTATTCATGTATAAACAGAGGATGTAAATATTGGTAGTCGTATTCAAGTGTAAACAGAGGATGTAAATATTGGTAGTCGTTTTCATGTGTAAACAGATGTAAATATTGGTAGTCGTATTCATGTGTAAACAGGAGATGTAAATATTGGTAGTCGTATCATGTGTAAACAGAAGATGTAAATATTGGTAGTCGTATAATGTGTAAACAGAGGATGTAAATATTGGTAGTCGTATTCAAGTGTAAACAGAGGATGTAAATATTGGTAGTCGTATCATGTGTAAACAGAGGATGTAAATATTGGTAGTCGTATTCATGAGTAAACAGAAGATGTAAATATTGGTAGTCGTATCATGTGTAAACAGAGGATGTAAATATTGGTAGTCGTATCAGGTGTAACAGAGTATGTAAATATTGGTAGACGTATCATGTGTAAACAAAGGATGTAAATGTTGGTAGTCGTATTCATGTGTAAACAGTGGATGTAAATATTGGTAGTCGTATTCATGGGTAAACAGAGGATGTAAATATTGGTAGGCGTATCATGTGTAAACAGAAGATGTAAATAGCGGTAGTCGTATTCATGTGTAAACAGAGGATGTAAATATTGGAAGTCGTATCATGTGTAAACAGAGGATGTAAATATTGGCAGTCGTATCATGTGTAAACAGAAGATGTAAATATTGGTAGTCGTATCATGTGTAACAGAGTATGTAAATATTGGTAGTCGTATCATGTGTAAACAAAGGATGTAAATATTGGTAGTCGTATTCATGTGTAAACAGAGGATGTAAATCTTGGTAGTCGTATCATGTGTAAACATAAGATGTAATTATTGGTAGTCGTATTCATGGGTAAACAGAGGATGTAAATACTGGTAGTCGTATTCATGTGGAAACAGAAGATGTAAATAGGGGTAGTCGTATTCATGTGTAAACAGAAGATGGAATTATGTTTTAAGCGGTATTGGGTAGTCGTATTCATGTGTAAACTGAGGATGTAAATATTGGTAGGCGTATCATGTGTAAACAGAGAATGTAAATATTGGTTGTCGTATTCATGTGTAAACTGAGGATGTAAATATTGGTATTCGTATCATGTGTAAACAGGGGATGTAAATATTGGTAGTCGAATCATGTGTAAACAGAAGATGTAAATATTGGGAGTCGTATTCATGTGTAAACAAAGGATGTAAATGTTGGTAGTCGTATTCATGTGTAAACCGAGGATGTAAATATTGGTAGTCATATTCATGTGTAAACAGAGGGTGTAAATATTGGTAGTCGTACTCATGTGTAAACAGAGGATCTAAATATTGGTAGCCGTATTCATGTGTAAACAGATGTAAATATTGGTAGTCGAATCATGTGTAAACAGAAGATGTAAATATTGGTAGTCGTATCATGTGTAAACAGAAGATGTAAATAGTGGTAGTCGTATTCATGTGTAAACAGAAGATGTAATTATGTTTTAAGCGGTATTGCATGCATTTGTTGTTATTGGTTTAAATGGATATATCGCACTAAGGCTAATTTATAATATAAAAAAAATCATTTAGTTTTAATATACATTGAAAATCTCATCTCGACGGGATGTATGCTAAGCAGTGGATAATGGCTTCTTTGCATGTTTTAACTCTAGATGAAACAATGATCAATGCAGTTATGCACGTGGTCATTTAAAAAAACATCATAGATAACCTTGTCAATGCATGGATGTATACTTAAACATCAAAGTAATGAAATGATCATACAGCAAATTAATTAAGTCAGAGTTGAGTAATGAAAAGTAAATAAAACGATAATGCAGTTACAAAAGCGACTCAGTAGTTACATATCTATGGCGACTCATCAATGTACTTTCAACGACTCAGGAACTTCTCATCCGCAACATTACTATTACAACTCAGACGTGAGAAACCTTTGACAAATGAATTGCTTCGTAACCGTGACGTCACATTTGATTAGAAGCTATGACGACACAGTAGAAACGTAACTATAATAACTTAATAGTTACCTCATCATAACGACTCTGTAGTTACGTAACTATGACGACTAAAGTGGAACGTAACAATGACGGGTCAGTAGTAACGGAACTATGGCGACCTAGTAGCTACGTAACTATGACGACCTAGTAGCTACGTAACTATGGCGATCTAGTAGCTACGTAACTATGGCGACCTAGTAGCTACGTAATTATGAAGACTGCGAAGTAACAATGCTGTAAACAATTCTGTATTTACTTACGTTGTGCGTTACACAGTCCATGCATTGTATTACAAATCTGTGTGTCGTTACAGCAGCTCTGACAGATTATCTGGCGGCCATCTTGGCTCCTCTCGTTCTCTACCTTTTCTTCACTACTTTCTCGCCTTCCAAAATTATGACACCGCTGTAAGGAAAAATGAAATAAAGTAGATATTACAATGTCAAAAAACACAATGTCAAAAACACAATGTCAAAAACACAATGTAAAAAACACAATGTCAATAACACAATGTCAATAACACAATGTCAAAAACACAATGTCAATAACACAATGTCAAAAATACAATGTCAAAAATACAATGTCAAACACAATGTCAAAAACACAATGTCATAAATACAATGTCAAAAATACAATGTCAAAAACATAATGTCAAAAATACAATGTCAAAAATACAATGTCATAAATACAATGTCAAAAACACAATGTCAAAAACACAATGTCAAAAATACAATGTCAAAAACACAATGTCAAAAATACAATGTCAAAAATACAATGTCAATAACACAATGTCAAAAACACAATGTCAATAACACAATGTCAAAAATACAATGTCAAAAACATAATGTCAAAAATACAATGTCAAAAACACAATGTCAAAAACACAATGTCAAAAATACAATGTCAAAAACACAATGTCAAATATACAATGTCATAAATACAATGTCAAAAACACAATGTCAAAAACACAATGTCAATAACACAATAACACAATGTCAAAAACACAATGTCAAAAACACAATGACAAACACAATGTCAAAAACACAATGACAGAAACACAATGTCAACTTACATCACAGCCTAAAATCGCGTTCGGTAGTGGCGGGGTTGTCAAGGTAGCAGGGCAAACACAGGGACATTGTACACAACAGCGTCACAACACAAAGCGGACCAATTATTCCTCAGTGTGAAAACAAAGGATAAAATACACCACAGTGCAAAAACAAGAGGAAAAATGGTCATGGTATCAAAGTATCGCAAGACAAGAACAAACACATATACCGTCGTACATCATCAGCATTATCATTATACAAAATATATTTAATTAAAACAGAGGTTTAAGTATTATTCTATCTAAATTGTTTACGCTGTGAAATTACTGATTATACATCATAGATCTTGGCCGGTAAGAATTTGACTGCATATTTTGTGCATTTAATTCAATTATAACATTAAGTGACATTCGACGTTTTGGACAAGCATGCTCGGATTTTAAGGTTGATATTAACAGGGACGTATAATGTATATATCCTGTACCTGATATTAAGAACTAAAAAGTTTAATTAAAATATTTAAATTTCAATGCCGAAGGAACATCTTGTCCTGTATCAACACGACCGTTCTGCTGCTCATTCTTATGTTTTTCATTCAAAGGCCTGCACTTTCGTAATTTACATCTTATGACGGGTTGTCAGTAAACATTGTCGTGTCGACAGCTAGCCAACAGACACTTATCAAAAGGTTCATGTCTGTATTTGAAATTCGGTTTGAGCTTCAGATAACATTCGAGAAGGAGCAAAGAATTTTTACTTTAACGGAAGAATGTTTTAGGAATACAGGATTTCTGTTCACGATAATAATGTTTTTTGTGGTTTTTTTGTGTGTGTCTACATTGTTCTGGTACTGTCTCGTTGTATCTACTTTGACGTCCAATTTGTTATTTGTGTGGGAACAAAATGATCTATATGTGTTTTTATCAATTTTATTTTATTAACAGAGATATTTACCAAAAGAGCAACAGGTGTATAAGCCACTTTAGTGCATATTTGCATCACAATTTAAAAATATTTCTATCAATATATTAACGAGTATAAACTTACGAAAGATGCCATACACCCCACATCATACATCACATGTCCACCTGTGGTCACGAACTGTGATACCATACATTCCTGAAATACAAGAATGTAAAAACAAAGGTCAAGGTCATTTATATGTACGTAATATTATACCCAAATGTCAAGTTCACGTGTACCCAATTTGTAGTACACAGAGATGAAGGTTATGTGTGTCATAATTAACACAAAGGTCAAGACTGTATCAGTGTCACATCATTTATGCCACACGTTCCTGAATGACGCAGTATTACATACAGATGTGAAGGTCATGTGTATCTATGTCAAAATTCTCATAGAGGTCAAGGTAATGTGTATCAATGTCATATATTTCATATTATTTCCTGAAATACACGATATTATATCAGAGTTGAAGGTCATGTGTATGTATGTCATAGAACACATACGGGTCAAGGTAATGTGTATTGTCGAGTACGGTCATATCATGAAATACACGATAGTACAATCAGAGGTGAAGGTCATGTGTAAGAATGTCATACACCTCGATAACATATTGTTTTTGAAATACATGATAGCAATAATATCTGAAGTAAGTAAACAAAGATTGTGCCTGATATAGATTACTCTACTGTTTAACTTTGTATTCTATTTTAGATGTTCCCTTCCCTTTTATCCAATGTTCCCTTTTACTTTTATCCAAACCTTATCATGTTAATAACGGTAAGTAATAACAATAAAACCAAAATCATTGCTAATGTAAGACCTTTTTAGATAACATTCCTCGTTATCAATCATGTTGTTTGAATTTGTTCAATAAACTAATTGCATAACCTCATGATCTCCACAACTGGTAACGCGGTTACAGCCACGTGGGTCTGATATGTGGTCACAGGCACCACACAGCTGTCCTCCTTCTGAAAATCCAATAATTAGAACTGTCAACGGTACCTCATCATCAAACACAAAGACAAAACCCAAATAAGAGTTAATACAAAAACAACAAGTACTGCAGGGATATCAAGACCAAAATATCATTAACCTTTTTAGAAAAAAACATGAATATATTAGCTTGGTAGCGAAGGACTAATACCTAGCGCCTGATAAGGTAGCTCCTCCCAAATCGTCGAAAAATGAAGTGATTGATATATTGTGTTGAGGGTATGGATTGTGGTTCTGTGTACTGAAGAACCATCAAGGGTAAGTACAAGTAGAGCGGTATATCAAATGTTGTATATTAATTTATTAAATATAATAATCCCTAGAGACCATGCATATAAGGTCTTTCATTATCGTAGACATTAACATCTCTTTAATGGGAATAATACAGTTTCGGGCAGTGGTAAGGATATCCTTAAGGTATATGTATGTTTCTGGTATGCTTGTTTAATAAACAGAACAGAAACCTTCAAAGGTAACACTTCAGCAGGTTTTTGGAGGGGATCTGGTCTGGATTATTTACAAAATATATACATTGTATATTATCAAATTGATTAAACATATTGTTGGAGAAATGATTAATATTCGTCCTATCTTTTTATTTAAGGGTATATATTGCCCTGATATTTTCATAAATAAATAAAATCAAAATGTCAAAATAATGAGTTTGCGCAGTCTTTGTTTTGTCTTAAATTCAGAGTTTTTTTTTTACACGGTTAGAAAAATCTTAAGAAATGTATACGTGTATTAGATGAAATAAAAGAATATGAACCTTTTGTTTATTTTTCAATTTTGAAACAAGCTCAATTTCATAGAAGGCCGAACATTAAGATTATTTGAAAAAAAACCTTTTTTCGAGGAGCCATGGTGTTTTTAGAGAAATATGATTAAATGAGAGATGAAACAGTCTTTATGACATGACTGTTGGTGAGTTTATTACAAATGTGTTTTAAGAAAGGTGTATGATAATAAATTGTCAATATTCATATCTTACCCGATAAATGAAATATTCCGAAGAAACACAATGAAACGATCAACCTGTGAAAAAAGGAAATATTTGTGAGCGTATATATTTAAATAAAGTATTTACAGGATTTTAAAAACAATTATTAGCTGATCTTCTCTACCTTAACCTCTTAGGGTGTAGGATTCAATGATCCCGCTAAACCTGTAGATGTATAGTAGTAATCTCCTATAAATGACGGCATAACATAGTATCATATCCCATACAACGAGTTATATCCCATACAGTTTTGATAGATGGAGTCATTATGTGGGAAATAGTTATCTGATTCAATTCCTTATACAATTCAGTAGTCATGATTTTGGAAAAGAACAGGTCTGCTGTAGCCAACTGTATGATTGTAAATAGCGACTAATGTGGGGCCCCCTGTATGATTGTAAATAGCGACTGATGTGGGGCCCCCTGTATGATTGTAAATAGCGACTGATGTGGGGTTCCCTGCATGGTTGTAAATAGCGACTGATGTGGGGCCCCCTGCATGATTGTAAATAGCGACTGATGTGGGGCCTCCTGTATGATTGTAAATAGCGACCGATGTGGGGCCCCCTGTATGATTGTAAATAGCGACTGATGTGGGGTCCCCTGCATGATTGTAAATAGCGACTGATGTGGGGCCCCCTGCATGATTGTAAATCGGATATTTCCTTCCACGAATGGGACATGGAACAGACCAAAATTGATCGTCTACTCCCATTGCAACACTTGGATATTTTTTTACGTTTTCCTTTCTTTCCTGTCCACCTTCTCTCTATCTAGTTTCTCTCTCTGGCGGTGTTCCCTAGACACACATCTTCATTTGATCCATCCTGGCTTTTGTAAGGACTTTAAACACCAAACGAACAGTAAACATTCTGCTTAATATTTTGTACACAATTGAGTCGTGAATGCATATGACTGTTGTGAATGGCATACAAATTAATTAAGGCAGTAACAAAACAGAAGAAATTCGAAAGTCACAAACAATACAAACTGACAGGTGAAATGAAGAAGACGCCAAAATAAAAGTAAATGCTAGGATTGAAATAGACGTTCTGAAAGGTAATTGTTCCCTGTACCATGTGGCACTCTTCATGTTAAACTATATACATTTCATTTGTACATGTCCCTAGATAAACTAATTAACAGTATACAATTGTTTCATGGCTATTTGGGGAACAGTTAAAACTATCATCCCGAGGTAGGGGGAAGCCCTGGGGAACTGTTTGCCCGAGGCCGCTCGGTCGAGGGCAAACAGTTCCACAGGGCTTCCCCCTACCGAGCGATGGTAGTTTTGACTATTTCCTTAATAGCATTGAAACAATTATTTTATTACCAAATATATATTTTAGTATCAATGCTGAGGTCAAATAAACGCTTGAACGGGCCTCTCAAGAGGAGATTTCTGCGCATCGACTTCGCGCCGGGTAACAGTTCGCTCTGACCGGTAAAACAGTATACAGTGGTTTCATGCCCTATCAGTCAACAGTCAAAACCATTTTGGTTTTGACTGTTGACTGATAAGGCATGAAACAACTGTTTTGTTACTTGACCAATGAAAAACCAAAAAGTTCTATGTCGAATGTGATGTTTAGATCTACCGACAGACAACCATTCAACAGTTTCACGTGACCAGTCAACAGTTTTACGGTAGCACACATTAGCTATAGTTCGTTTGGTGAATTGTCTGGGAAACAGTCGAAATTGATTAATATGCATTTATATAGCGAGTCAGGTAACAATTTTGACTGTTTCACCCCTACAGCCGAAATTTGACAAAAAGCCAGAAATAATCAAAAATGACGAATTCTAATTTATATAGACTATTGGGTAATAACAACAACTATTACACGTCACAATTGGAAACTGTTCGGGACTTTCCGTCAAACTCTTAATTGTGGACCAATCATGACATGACGTCAATTTTTTTTTTATGGAAATTCCCGAAGGGCTTCCGATTGACGCTCGCCGCCTAACGGAACTGGTAAACATAGAAACCAACAAAATTGATTTTCTGAAATTTGTAACACAGTTGGTTTGAAGTGTATTTTGAACCGAAAGGGAATACAAAGAACGTTGAAATGATGTAACATGTATCTTGCCTGGATAAACGAAGGATTGAAATACATCTTTTAAGCAGTTATGATAGTAAGAAACACATTAAAATTCAAATACATAATTCTAGATGCGCAACCACCGTGCATTATCGAATACGTTTGAACGAAACTGTGTTTCATACACTATTAATGTAAAACATATATGTATTTCGATAATTTATCATTTCACGAAGAGTGGAAGAAACCCGCTCTTCTGAACATATTATATTTCAAAATAATATCAGGATTTAACAGGATTAAGATAATTAAAAAGGATTTATCAGTGTTATGATTAGCAAATATCTGTTACGTATAAGAGAACCTGTTACAAGGATACAATACCTTTCTATGTAAGCCGAACCCATGTTAGATAGTTATTGACCTCTCTCTACCAAACGATTATACTGTAGTTGTAGTATAGATAACAATCTATGGAGCCCGATTAAACGACAGCCACAAACTGCCAGGGCTGTCTATCAGCTGATTCTGATTATAATAAATAAACGTATACTGTCATACCACAATATTATTAATGATTAAATTGTCTATAATGAAACGTTTTTATGTTGTGATGTAACAGTTTTAAAAATCTTTTATTTCAATATATGAACTCTTTAGCATGAACGATTACATGAATTCTGTTTACTTAAATTAATGTCAGTGTTGCATTTATTTAAAACTAGACAAGATAAAAAATAACCTACGTTGAAAACGAAACAAAGATAATGAAAATGTGTTACAGTCTTGTGGAAAGGTCAACCAAGGAAACACTATGAGAAAGAACACGTGTCGATTTGTCTTCTATGTTTAATCTGCGTCGTCATATATATACTTAACACAGTTTACCCTTACATACTACAGTGCTAAATATCAAATAAGGATATTTACATTCGTTAATATAGGGTTAGTACTATCTTTTCATTGTATTGTTGTTGTATATGTGTGTCTTAAATCTGTACCAGGACGTGACATTACTTGAATTTTACCTAGACTGACATGGCCAGTGTCATCGATTAAACAGAAGATAATTTCCCTTCCGAAACACCTGGTCTTTTTCTCCATTTACGCTTTGAATGGTCTTCGTGTAAATCTTTCTTTTGTTCATATTTAGCCCTGATATATCTATTTTGAGTTCGAAGTATGGCTTTATTGACACTTCGGCAATCTCCTGTAGTTTTGTCGATTTTGAGTTAAAATTACGTTTTATTTTCGATACTTCAGTTCTTTTTTTCCCAGCATGTTTTCAGTACGTTTTCAGCACGTTTTCGGTATATTTCCAGCATACTTTCAGTATGTTTTCAGCAGTAAGAAAATTGAATGTTTTAAGGAGATTCTTCCATTTTTGGAATTGTTAGCGATTATTCTTAAGGATATACTATAGGTTGTGATTTGTATGACAACATTAAATTATGGTCTCGTGCTATCTTGTCTGTTGCCCAGATAGACCGATGGAACCATGACAGCTGGTCATACTACAAGGTAGGTATTCCATTTTTAACGTGTCGTGTTTATTTTTATATTTCAAAATCATGACTTTATGAAATATTTTTATGAATGTAATCTTATTTTTCCTTGTTGTAGTCTATAATAAGTATCTGTTATCTGACAGTATTGATTACGTTGTGTCTCCCAAGTTCTTGCGGCAAAATGGCACACTATGAAACAGCACTAATTGCTGAGGTCGTCACAAGGAAATAAAATGAAACAAAATTATTTGTTATGACTTTTAAATAAGATGTCAATCAACTACCCCCCCCCCCCCCTCCCTCCCCAAAAAAGGCACAAAAGTATGTGTTGTTATGTATAGGGCCAACGGTGGCCGAGTGTGGTTTAGGTATCGTACTGTCTACGGCCACTGGCCCTCCACCACTGGCGTTCATGGCCTATGTGGTGCAAATGACAGATACTGGCTGCAGGTTGGTTGTTTTCCCCGGTTACTCCGATTTTCCTCCACCACCAAACCTGGCATGTCTTTAAATGACCATAGCTTTTAATATGACTTACAGGGGAACCAAACAAAACGGCTGTTGATGTTCTCGATTAAAAATAAATCAAATTGAACAATGTATTTGTTCGTTGATTGATATTTTCCGATTTTATTTGAAGTAATGATAATCATAAAATCTTTTATTTAGACAGGGTTACATATTTAGATTTATATTTAATTTACAATATGGCCCTGTAATACACAACTTACCATGGACATGGACACGATACATACAATGGCATCTACAGTATAAATAAATAACAACAATATCAAATGTGCAGATCCTGACATGTTTAAGCATAAAAACGTTTTGTCACATCTAAAACATTTTCACCGGGTCTTCCTTCTTAAAAGACAAAAACTAGGTAAAAATATGGAGTGAGCTTTCTATATTGGTCCATAAAATGCTCACATCCATAAACGCTTCCGCAGCTATGTCTTTTTAAAAGACTCTATAGACTAGGTAAAATAGGCAGTGAGCTTTCTAAATTGTTTCATAAAACACTCACAGAGTAACTAAAACATCTCTAATAGTTAGTTGTTCTACATCTTTTCAAATATATATTTTTTGGCTGTAAAAAGAACGTGTAATTCTTGTAGTAACCCGGTTAACATTGCTAAAATATTGATTGAGAACAAGTATAGCTTGGTCATGTCAATCATATACAACAATAAGCATTTCATAGAATCATAAAACATCTGCAACGAAGGAAGTGAAACATGAATGACTGTAGTACAGCGTCACCACAAAAGGAAACACATCATTACATTAACGCCAGACGAAAAGACCGACCGGGAAAACATTTCCATCTTTTCAACTCCGACTACAAGGAATAACAAATATCATTTAAGGATTATGCATTAATTTTGCTCTAGGTGTTTTATTTTATTTGCAGGTACATTTTGCTTGCTGTTGCCTTCACTTTCATATTTCATATGACAGGTGAGTAGACTTAAAAACATTAAATACGATTTTTACGTTAATTTAAAATAAACTTGACATTTCACAAATGAGTATGGTAAAACATACAACAGGTGATTACAATGTAGTTAAACATGACAAATGAGAATACTTGAATGACACATGACATACATCACGACAGGGTGTGTGTGTGTGTGTGTGTGTGTGTGTGTGTAAAATTATGTTTATATATCTAAGACATTCGAGGTGATAGTATATTAAAACAAAATATCAAGAAGATTACGGACCCCTTTAATCATGGACTTAGGGTTTTCCCATGAACAGTAACCTCCCCTTTACTTCCGTTTGGATATAACACTGTAACCCAGTTGGGCCAGGTAGCTCAGTCGTGCGGTAAGAGAAATAATAAAATAAACTGAGGTTCAGAGCTTTAACCACGGTCTATCCATGCTAAAGTTTTAAATCAAAACACTGTGGCTGATTATATTTTGTCAAAAAACAGTTTCTAGAACGTAGTTGCAGTTTATGACAATGGTATGGGGACCTTTGATACATTTATATTTAATATGATATACGGCAGATGGGTACTATTGATTAAACATGACATACAGCAGGTGGTCATACCTGAGTTTAATATAGGACAGATAGGTACAGCATGACATTGACAGGTGATTTCATTGACATTAAACATGACATTGACAGGTGGTGACAATTACATTAAACATGACATGTCATGTGATAACACTTACATTAATTAATCATGACATTGACAGGTGTAGCACTGTCATTAAACATGGCATTGACAGATGATCGAACTATCAACAAACATGACATTGACAAGTGAGTACAATTACACAAAGGTGATTACACCTGTCATTAGACATGACATTGACAGGTGATTACACTTTTCATTAGACATGACATTGACAGGTGATTACATTTTTCATCAGACATGACAATGACAGGTGATTACACTTTTCATTAGACATGACATTGACAGGTGATTACACTTTTCATTAGACATGACATTGTCAGGTGATCGCACTTTTCATTAGACATGACATTGACAGGTGATTACACTTTTCATTAGACATGACATTGACAGGTGATCACATTTAAACATTAAACATGACGTTTGACAGGTGATCATATTGACATTAAACTTAACATTGGTAGGTGTGTAAATTCACATTTAACATGACATTGGAAAATAATTACACTGACATTAAACATGACATTGACATGTCATTACACTTAAAATACACTTCCCTCTGGATAGTACACAAATTATGACAGGTAATAAAACATTAATCAAACACGACATATTGTAACGCCACTATGTTGACGTTGTTTATATAATTGTTATTGTGTTTCCAAGCATCGTTGGCTCGTTTCGTTAAAATCGTCTAGCATCATATTTCCCAACAATTACATCCTTTATAACAGTTGTCAATGAGAATCGTGGAAATTAGACATTTATATATATCATACTTGAGTCGTATCTATAAGGATTACCTGGATAGTCGTCATTTAGTCGTGTAGTTTGTCATTTTCATTCGATCTTGTTCATATGTATATTTTCGACAACATGTTGTTGTCCGGTAATGGAGTGCGCATGTCCGAGGCCAAAAGTTTATGTTTTTACATTGCGTTGATGTTAACCAATCAGATAAGAGTCACGGGGCGTAAATTTCCTGGGGGCGGAATCCCGTTATTTTCGGGACAATTCCTAAATATCGGAGTACACACGGTTTTAAGATCTCGAAACCACTAACCAGGTTCGGGCGAGATTCACCTACTATTTTTCCTAGGGAAAGCGCGCAATGTCATGTATAACTATCTACCAAGCTATTTTAAGAAGGGATTTCCCTGTAATTGCTATATTGTAGTAACGACAAAGTTGTATAAATGTAGGTCAATGTTTACATTAGAAAATATAACGAACTTCAGTCATACATAATTCCTACTGCTTAAATTGATAGGCTTATTGTTTAGTATATATGTGTTAGCTTTACCTTGTTACTCAGTATAACAGTAAAACTTAACGATATTGGAATTTTGAGAGCATATGTACAGGACAAGAGTGAGATACGTTGATACTGACTTGTATTAATCTTGCAACTGTCACACTCGTATGGCTCCAGTACTCTCAGGTATATAAATAAATCTTATCGAACTGTTTATTTGGCGTTTTTGCACTGTCACTGAGTGGGTTCAAAGAAGTGTTTAGTTTAGAGAAGCCTAATTGACCAGAGGCTGAAGAGACCCCATTGATCAGGGGTAGAAGGGACCCTATTAACCAAGGGCGAAGGGTTAGCTATCTTGCTACAAATTATAGGCCTTGATAGAGATAGACCCGATCACGTTACAAAAGGTACGAGAGTACAGGTCAGCTAACTTTCAAATACATATGTACCGGTGACTTCAATAAGACACACGACAGTTGATCACACTTCAACTAAACATACGACAGATGAGGAAATGAGGGATACCAATTAAGGCCCTCTGGTGGCTATCACCAATAAATTGTAGTTTTGAAAATTGTCTTCAAATCAGGTTAAAAACGTTGAAATTAACTTATATTTCTGCTATCTTACTTCACATCTCTACTAATTATTGTATGTTTACATACAGAGGGAGGCCAGCTATGTGGACTCTGTACACACATGGTGGACCCTCGGGATTGTGACGTAGTTGGTGAATGTGGAAACCACGAGGTAATGTCTGTGGCATCTAAGCTGGTGATTAATACAAATAACATTTACAGCCAGTTGGGTGATTCAATTAGATATATACAGGTATGGGGAAGGAATAGGCCTGTAGTATCACATTGAATGTTACTGTATCATAAGAGGCAAATCATGTGGGGCCCCTGCAGAATCTGGGTTGTTTTCTATGTTTAGGTTCATGGAAGAAACAAACTGATATGTTGGCCCAATTGAACCACTTGTGATCTATCTAAAAAAAATCTTACTTCTGTAACTTTTTTCTCGTGTGTTTCCCCTGGCACCAGTCTTCATTCTACCTTGGCAAGAACGTTACACCCTTACAAACAAACAAACAAATACACAAATCTGGGTTATTAATAGGAGAGATACATCGATCGCAAGCGCACAATGTCATGACTGTGCATTCATATATCAGCTGCAGAATTAACAAACTTATAAGTTAATTTTAGTTGTTTCAATATGCATTATCGACATTCGAATGGGTTACGCTCACTTACGCTCGCTGCATCCCTGGAATATGACAAAACAGAAGGGTTAGTGTGTGCCACCTTGCAGATGAGACAAGAGGACAGGTACGATCATTTGATGTTCATTAAATGAATCCCACGACAGTGTAACGTTAAAATTGATCGATTTTGAAGTCGAGTGTCGCTCCTCTGAAATCTTCGAAAGACAGGTCTCGGCCTAGTAATTGGTATTTTGTTAATTTGAAACCATTCCAATAGCCCGTCGCATGCCTTCAGTGTTGTCATGACATATTCCAGGGGCGCAGAGAGCGTAAGTGAGCGTGACCCTTGAAAAATAGAGGATGACAGTGCAATGCGTTAAGTCATATTGTTATAGAGAAAAAAAAATTGTTGTTGCTATTTGATATGAAACGACATAGATATACACGAAAACCGTTGAAATGAGAATACCGCTCAAATGTATACGATAACAGTGAATTGAATGGCGTCACTTTTATAATCGGTTGCCCAGGTTTCAACCACTATGTGGTTTTTGTTGAAAAAACTATCCTTCATCGCAACATCATTTCTACAGATGGAGAAAAAACTCATCTGTCCAGAAATATTAATGATAATATTATCAGGAGAACATTCTTTAATGGCAATTCCTCTTAATCTTTAGTCTAATTTGTTTGTGTCGGATTTCACGTCCTCGCAACAGCTAAGGTCATATGAAGACGGGATCCGAGGGTGAAGATGTGATTGTTATACGGCCAAGGTTACGAAAGATTCTGTTATACGTTCTAAAAATTCACCACTTTGTATTTAAATATAGTGGCAGGGACACTTATTTTATATCAAAGGTCCCTTACACAGTGTTCCATGTTATCTTCCCTGTTCCAGGAATGCAGTATCAGTCAGTACGTTTCACCCACCGGACACATACTGTACGATATCGGATGTGAATCCTCACTAGTACGTATCTCAAATGTGTTTTTAACCGATCATAAATACTGTTACTTAGATGTTTAAGGAATAATCAGGATTATATTTAGGGTTATATGGTAATATATAAAAACACCCCCTATTTTTATTTAAAAATAAATAAAAATAGCAATAAATGATTATCGATTCATGATGCGTCCTAATATACATTTAAGCGTTTTTTCATATGTAATCATATATTTTTCTGTAGTCATCGGCAAACATTATGTATGTTTTTTTTGGTTGAATTAAGGAAATGATAAGATACAAAAAACACGAAAATGAGTTTATACCTATTTGGTTTTGGGCACGCTATGTATTTTTGTTAAGGCTTGTCGTTCCAGTACTGCGAGGAGGAATTCAGATGTCTCCAGGACTTCTCGGTTAATAGGTGCCGGCAATGTGGTGATTTGTTCGACATGCTGTAATGATACACAAACCTGCAACGTCATCGACGGGCATTGTAACAGTCAAGGTAACACTATTAAATAGATCCAGTTACTTTATTTTTTACAATTTGTTTTGGTATGTCATCTTTTGTCTTTTCTGTATGTCATATGATTTATATCATTATATCATGTAATGTATATTGAAGTATGTGATGTTTTCTATTATTTGTATGACATTATATTTTTCATTGTTTATAACATATTATTTAATTATTATAAGATATAATTTTGTAATTGTATGTCAAATTATTGTTATAATTAATGTATGAGAGTATTTATGATTGTATTTTCATTGTACGTCATTTTCATATTTTTTTTTGGTGTCATGTTGTTTTTATTTTTGTATGTCATATTACTTTTAAAAGTGTTTGTCATGTTATGTGGGTAAATGTATGACATTTTGGTCATGCTTTGTATTTTGGTGTATTTCCTTTTAATTTGTTAGTTTATGTTATGGAATTCCATCATTGTTGTCAAGATTTTCATCATTGTATGTCTATTGAAGTATATGTTATATGTCATGATATTTTCAGTAAGTCTGTGTCATGTTTTATCCTTATTGTTTGTAACATTTTTTTAATTAATGTGTGTCATATTGTTTTTACAATTAATTTCATGCTATTTTTCGTATACGATGTCATTTTGTCATTGTATATTATGTTATTTTTATCATTGCCTGTCGAGTTAAGTTTTTTGGGTATGTCTTGTTGCTCATGTTATTTCATAGGTGCATGTAATAATATTTCCTAAATTGTATGTCATATATTTATGATTGTATGCCTGTTTTAAAAATTGTATATCGTGTTATTATGTATAATTGTATGTAATGTTATTTGTATTATTGTATGTAATGTTTTCATGCTTGTTTTACTATTGATTGCATTCCAGTTTTATTATTGTATGTCATACTAGTTTTACTATTGTATGTCATGCTAGAATTGCTATTGTATGTCATGCTTGTTTTACTATTGTATATCACGCTAGTTTTACTATTGTATGTCATACTAGTTTTATTATTGTATGTCATGCTAGTTTTACTATTGTATATCATGCTTGTTTTAAAAACTATTGTATGTCATACTAGTGTTATTATTGTATGTCATGCTAGTGTTACTATTGTATGTCATTCTAGTTTTGCTATTGTATGTCATGCTAGTGTTACTATTGTATGTCATTCTAATTTTACTATTGTATGTCATGCTAGTTTTACTATTGTTTGCATTCCAGTTTTATTATTGTATGTCATACTAGTTTTACTATGGTATGTCATGCTAGTTTTACCATTGTATGTCACGCTAGTTTTACTATTGTATGTCATTCTAATTTTACTATTGTATGTCATGCTAGTTTTACTATTGTATGTCATGCTAGTTTTACTATTGTTTGCATTCCAGTTTTATTATTGTATGTCATGCTAGTTTTACTATTGTATGTCACGCTAGTTTTACTATTGTATGTCATTCTAATTTTACTATTGTATGTCATGCTAGTTTTACTATTGTATGTCATGCTAGTTTTATTATTGTCAGTCATGTTGTTTTTATTGTTGTATGTCATATTATATTAATAAGTATATGTCATGTTTTCTCTCTCTTCCTAGAAACGTTTTTGTTCAGGAAATGTCTTGCGTTTATCCCTTAAATCCATGGCTAGTGATTGTATTGATAGTATTGCCAAATGATTATCAAATACCAATACAAAGAAATAATGCTATTATTACTCATGGATGTTTTTAACATCGTTTCATGTTAGGTTTTCTTCAGTATACTGGGAAATCAGTGTCATTATGTTCACTTAAGCACCTTCATAGGAGAACATGCGATTTGCAATATTAATGGTAAAAGATATTTATCTTTCCTCTTCTAAATTCACCGTAAGTAAAAATCATTTGAGTATATATCCAGAAGCATGTTTTCCCATCTAAATTGATTAACAGGTATATTTTGTTCTTTTCATTTGATAAAGCATTGGATCTGACCGGCGCAATTCTCTGCTACAATTGTGACTACATGCATAGCCCCGATCAGTGTGACAGAGTCATGGTGACAGAGTCAGTGTGACAGAGTCATGGTGACAGAGTCATGGTGACTCTAGTGACAGAGTCATGGTGACAGAGTCATGGTGACAGAGTCAGTGTGACAGAGTCAGTGTGACAGAGTCATGGTGACAGAGTCATGGTGACAGAATCAGTGTGACAGAGACATGGTGACAGAGTCAGTGTGACAGAGTCAGTGTGACAGAGTCATGGTGACAGAGTAATGGTGACAGAGTCAGTGTGACAGAGTCATGGTGACAGAGTCATGGTCTGTTCCGTACATGAGGTACGTGTTGAATCCCAGAGCCTGTTCAATTATGGCAAGTTTTATGGTTGCCTTCAGGATTTTTGTGTTGTGATGATTGGTGCTTTTTAAGTACGATCATTAGAGTGCCTTGTGGTTTTCTTGTCACGTACGGAGTTCTAGATGTGAGGACGACATATTACCCGAATTCGACCTATATATAAATGTTTTATTTATTCATAATCTATATCAGCTATACATAAAAACTCGCGTGTGGCTATTTTCGCGCAAATTTACTCCATGCGAAAACGCCAACGTTTTCTCACCGCGAACATTACGACTTTTACAGAAATTGAAGGTCTCAATACGCAGTTCCTGTTCTTATTCATTATAGCTTAAACAACTGAAAGCAAACAACCAAACAATCCTAACTATCACAAAAAAAAACAAGCAACAAAAAACGATTTTAGATCAATCTGAGAAGTCCGGGTCACTGCCATGCATGCGTAGAATTCGTAAAATTCAAATGGAGGTGGAAAAACATTGACCATTCGGAGCCATGCCATTGTGTAAGCTACCTTGCATATTCTACACATGCTTTGTGTAAGAGTTAAGGTTATATGCTACCTTACATATTCTACACATGCTTTGTGTAAGAGTTAAGGTTATATGCTACCTTACATATTCTACACATGCTTTGTGTAAGAGTTAAGGTTATATGCTACCTTACATATTCTACACATGCTTTGTGTAAGAGTTAAGGTTATATGCTACCTTACATATTCTACACATGCTTTGTGTAAGAGTTAAGGTTATATGCTACCTTACATATTCTACACATGCTTTGTGTAAGAGTTAAGGTTATATGCTACCTTACATATTCTACACATGCTTTGTGTAAGAGTTAAGGTTATATGCTACCTCACACAGTTTGTGCATGATTTGCGTTAAAGTAGAGGATATATGCTACCTTAAACATTATACCTGTGATTTGTGTTAAAGTTAAGGATATAAGCCTCCTCACACGGTATACCTGTGATTTGTGTTAAAGTTAAGGATATACGCCTCCTCACACGGTATACCTGTGATTTGCGTTAAAGATAATGACATATTATATGCAACCTTACATATATAACGTTATTTGTGTAAAGGTTAAGGATTTTTCGTGCTTTCGTTCACAATACACTTGTGACAAAGCCAGTATGTGAAAGTTTAGGATATAGCCTAACTTACATATTTAACCTGTTGTTTGTGATTGAGTTAACGATTTATTTTGATACCTTACATATTACCAGACCTACACATTATACCTGTGATATGTGTATTAGATATACAACAAATGCATGCATTTAATGTGTTCATGCTATTTATTACATAACATTATTTCATATGAGAGATGTATTCTGATATTATATCACGTATCATTTTGTCAGCAATGTTACATAGGAGCGAAACAAAGCCCAATATCTGAATCCTGGCTGTGGACCAGTCGGTGTGTACACAGCAGTGTGGTAAATAGAGAATAATACATGCCTTTTTCCATATCACACCCAGTATCAACCCGAGACTGCAATATCAGCCCAAGGGACGATTTTTTTTGTGTGATATGGGTTTTGCGGGCTGATATGGGTTTTGGGGTGTGATACGGCGGGGGCTGATACGGGTTTTGGGGTGTGATACGGCGAGGGCTGATATGGGTTAGAGCAATTGTGTCGTATCGCATATACAAAAAACCCGTATTTATTGGTAAGTATGTAATAAACAGTTATAAACTATATTCACATCTTAATTAAAATCTTTACGCCACATAGTTAATTCAATGTTCACATCCGGATTCTATGAAAACTTCTTACATTTCGTTACATTACGTTTTCTTACATGAGGAAAACTTATCCGGACAATTTTAAGCAGAAGTTTGACAGGTGGTAACTAAAAACAAATATTTGACTATACTTTTCCTGTTTGTTTTGTAACCCCATGAAAAAAGGTTTCAATTTTACAATAATTTGTTTTCCCACAGGACTGTCAAGGTTCCTTTCCACACATTCCTGTGGACGGGGTAGTGGGAAAGAGACAGGTTTCAGCACTACGCTCAGGGTGTTGCAAAGATAACTTCTGCAATCATAAAAGCCCGTCAACATTTAAACCACAACACATCACAAAACTACAACAACGACGGTTACACCTTCAACTTCTAACACTCCCAGTAAGAATCATACGATATCTGTTCCAATCGGTCAAGTTTTAGACATTTAGTTTCGTATTCTTAATATTCCATCCCTGCATTCCGATGTTAGTTATTCTAAAATCCTGCTAGTGTCACCAGTGTACACTATCCTAACCTCCCCTGTTGTTCACCAGTGCACAATAGCCTAACCTCCACTGTTGTTCACCAGTGTACAATATCCTAACCTCCACTGTTGTTCACCAGTGCACAATAGCCTAACCTCCACTGTTGTTCACCAGTGTACAATATCCTAACCTCCACCGTTGTTCACCATTGTACAATATCCTAACCTCCACTGTTGTTCACCAGTGTACAATATCCTAACCTCCACTGTTGTTCACCAGTGTACAATATCCTAACCTCCACTGTTGTTACCAGTGTACAATATCCTAATCTCCACTGTTGTTCACCAGTGTACAATATCCTAACCTCCACTGTTGTTCACCAGTGTACAATATCCTAACCTCCACTGTTGTTCACCATTGCACAATGTTATAACCTCCACTGCTGGTCACCAGTGTACAATATCCTAACCACCACTGTTGTTCACCATTGCACAATGTTATAACCTCCACTGCTGGTCACCAGTGTACAATATCCTAACCTCCACTGTTGTTCACCATTGCACAATGTTATAACCTCCACTGCTGGTCACCAGTGTACAATATCCTAACCACCACTGTTGTTCACCATTGCACAATGTTATAACCTCCACTGCTGGTCACCAGTGTACAATATCCTAACCTCCACTGTTGTTCACCATTGCACAATGTTATAACCTCCACTGCTGGTCACCAGTGTACAATATCCTAACCACCACTGTTGTTCACCATTGCACAATGTTATAACCTCCACTGCTGGTCACCAGTGTACAATATCCTAACCTCCACTGTTGTTCACCAGTGTACAATATCCTAACCTCCACTGTTGTTCACCAGTGTACAATATCCTAACCACCACTGTTGTTCACCATTGCACAATATTATAACCTCCACTGTTGGTCACCAGTGTACAATATCCTAACTTCCACTGTTGTTCATCAGTGTTCAATATCCTAACCTTGTTAGTTCACATGTTAAGCATTTTTCCCCGATATTCTCAAATACACAATTTTTCTTTACACATTTTTTATTATTTTCATACCGATGTTCCTGCCGTATGCGGTGTATGGCTTGTTTGGTGGTATTTTGGCAGTACTGTTAGGCATGTATGGAGGTATTGTATATCATGTTTGAATGTATAGTATGGCGTTTATGGTGGTTTGGTATGGCGTGAATGACGTTATTGTTTTATTGTTAACCGTTTGTTAGCGATATTTGGCTTAAAATAGCGTTTGGAATCAAATCTTTCATCAAACACCTGCGTCATGATGTAACGAAATGGCTACAAGTTCCTCGTGTCGTTTACAGTTCATGTTGCTAAACTAAACATTACCCGTAATAAACAAGCAATCATCGATGACCAGTCGACTAATTGTTTCCCCCCTTTTTTGCTTTTTGTAATCTCTTTTTGTTTTCTATTTGTCAAATGAAAAGAAGAAGAGAGAATTAACTGAGGAACAGAAACAAGAAAAATGGGAACTTTGGACATTTTTTATACAAAGACCGTTGGTTAGGGGAAAAATTGAAATGAATAAAACAAATCAAGAACATCTGATATCATTTTATTGCGTTAAATTACTTAGACAGTTTCGGTTAGTATGATGTGTTTTAAGGATGTATGCTGTTTGGGAAGACATTGCTCCCTAACGACAACATTTTGAATGTTTCAATAACCACTGATAACAGTAAACAAGCTTACAACAACCAGTGCTTTAACTTTAATTATTGGTCAATTGTTTGAACTATGAAGTCACGTAACAATGCTTTGTGCTGTAAGCTTTTATCGTGAACTCTTCATTTATGGAGAAAAAAAATCAGAAATAGTAATAATTTCTAGATATCATATGAGCGTTATGAGACTTGTGATTGTTGGATATTATGTTGATCTATTTCCCAGTATAACCTGAGTCTTCATACAATCTGAAAAAATAGCTGACTCAAGCAAGATAAACATGATAACCTACCATCACTCGTTGAGGAATCGTTGAGGAACCTCTATACAGTATACTGAAGTATCTAGGTGAGTTGATACCTACAGGGTGTACAACATCTAATTACAGAACTAGCACGTAGGCAGTTTTTTGAAAACAAATAATCTAGTCCACGAACAGTGTCATAATAGTCATTGAAATGTTCACTAGCCTGACATAAACTATACAAGACCCAAGTGTCCGGCTAGTGAAATTGTACACCTCGACCTACCACTTCCAGTTGCAGACACTACAATCGGAGTAAGATGGGCGTACAACCAGTTGATGATTGGGGCCAAAGAGTGGAAATCCAAATTAATTCCTGCATTATATTAAGCCTATTTTTACGTATATTATAAACCGCGCCACTACTCAAAAGAGATCAATATGGTCATCAATCGTTTTATAACGTTCTAATCTGACATGACCCTACATTTATTTTGATTTAATACATAAACCTTGATTCACTTTCTTGGTCGTATATACAATCGTAATATACACACTTTACTTATTATAAATTTGAAATTTACCACTACTTCTCTACTTTATATGAATTTCAAAAAACATTATGCACCTCCCCTTTATATGTTGCCATAGTAGTTTAGACAAATCTGGATTTCAAACCATTTTGGTCCCTAGCGTCATCGACGAGTCCTAGATGGACGAAACAGCTGGATGGTGCAGTGCAATTCATTTTTTGGCATACTGCATCAATAAAAAATAAATTTGAGATGCAGTCACGTATGTGTATTACTTTCATCTTTCATTGTAGTCAGATGTGTTCAATACTTCGAACGACCTTTGTAATAACCATTAAGCCTAGAGTATATCTCGCTGCGATGAAGTGCCATACAGTTAACCAGTCTATGAACCCACATTTCTAACAACTGTTATTCCGGTTGGGCGATGCAGGCCCTATTATCCTCTTTGCTGATAGATAACTGTCTAATGCGTATTATCAAGGAAATGATTTGCTGGTATTATTGATTTCCTTCCTTTAGATGTATATGAGTAATTGCCCTTTTAAACATCACAACTATTCAATGTCTTGTCTGTAAAATAAACTGCAGTAATATGCCAACTTGTCATAAAATCGCAATATCTATTTCTGTCAATAACATGAGGCCCAGGGGTCATGGTAGCGGCAGATCCTATTACTCTAAACGTTATGTCTTTGTGATTCTCTATTGGAAGATTTGAACATATTGATATGAAATAAGTTGGTTATGAAAGTCATTTGTTCACTACTTTCACATCATATACATTTAAACCATTCACCTACATGAACTAAAATATCATGAACTTCAGCCGGCCTCTTTTATTATTCACAGGTCAATTAAACGTCTTAACAACTTTCAAAATATGACCTTGAAATTCGGTCATGGTAATTCTTTTGAACAAACTAGATCACCCATTACACAAGCTTAAACTGCCCAAAGATAATCACCCAAATCTTCTTGGTTGTTCAGAAGATGATTAACATTTTAACATATTGTCACTTTAAAATTGGGCCAGGGTAATTAATTTTAACAAATTTGATAGCCCTCATTCCAGCTTGTAACTGTCCTAATATAGCCTTCCTATGCGGTTTTTTTGGTATTCAGAAGATGTCGTTTGATTTTTTTTTTAAACAAATGTTACCTCGAAAATAGGTCAAGGTCATTCATTTTAACTCTTGACAGCCCTTTGTCTCAGCATGCTACTTACCAAATGGCATCACCAAAGACCTTTTTGTTACCAGGAAGAAGTAGTCAGACGGATGACGACGCCGCACCACGGCATAAGCTCAATTGGCGTTTTGGGCCAAGTTAAATAATAACTATACTAAAATACAAATCCTTTTTATAAATATACAATGGCTCCCGTTTTCTCTCGTTAACACATGCTACTTGTTGATTTTTTCTTAGCCCGATATTGTATATCTTGTCAGCCCTATAAAAAGCTATCACGGTGCATATTTCAAACCATTTTTGCTGAAGTCAAGCAAGTGTTTCTTTAACAACTTAATTTGTCCCTTTTTGTTAAGTTTGCTTATCTGGGTATATTGTCGGTTTGCCGGTATAGCTTACTAAACGGCTTTAACTGGTCACAATAGTTCTGGGTAAAACAACTGTTATCAATCACCTTTGTTGGCACAAAGTGAATCGCGCAGATGCATTGATGGGGAGGAAGTCGGAGTACCCAGAAAAAAACACAAGTGTTCAGGCAGTGGACGAAGAATTGAAACTAATTTCCATTTGAAAACATTTATTTTGATAATGTTATTTCACATGATTACGGACCACTGGGGCTATGTTCAAAAATATCAATATATCGTATATCGTCTCCCTGTGAGTTGTGGGCCTTACACGCGTAGTGGCCATAGTTCATATCAGTCACGGAATCGATGTGTATATCCGCACCATTGTTGGTCAGCCGGATATTAGTTGGCATTTTCTCACCAATCGCCTGTGCAAATAAAATAAATCACCAAGGCCTGTGTAAACAGCTTATTATCATCAGGCACCTGCGTCTATAACAGACGTTACATCATAAATAAAACACGGTTTCAATAAATCATGTTTGTCTATAGTTTACCATTGTATCATAAAGATATAATAAGAATGGTACAACGACCCTATGTGCCTGGATGGGCTCCGGAGCGCAGATCCATTGTAACAAGTTCAATGTGTACTCAATAATAGTACATTGTTACTAGTTTTCCCATTTGTAACAATTTCGTATTTATCAGCAATAATTCAATAAATAAATAAATCAAGAAGAGCAATAGAAATTGAGCTGACATAAAACCAAAATGATATTCTACATAAATAATGAATAAATAAGTAAATAAATATGTAAATAAGTAAATACATATGTTAATAAAAAATGAATTTGTAAATAAATAAGTAAATAAATAAATAATGTGTAAATAAATAAATCAACAACCAAAGGAATTGAACACAAAGTCTCCAAGAAAACCTTAGATAACAACTAGTGCTCTGGACAGTAGCGTAACATGTACCTCATAATAGCCATCAGATTTATAAATTGTCATTAGAGAAAAGACGAACGCAACAGACCAGAACAGTAATTAACTTACAAAGAAGCTCCAGGTGATGGAGGGAGTTGGGTTACCAGTCGCCCTGCAGGTTAAGTGTATGTATGACCCCTTATTAACGTCATGTAGTCTGGTGGCAAAAACAATCACCGGCTTCGACACTGTAAGTATACACAAATATGATTTGGAATAATTGGAGAACTTATGAATTTATATAATGTGTTATTGTCCGGAAACGTCGGGTGATAACTGGAGATGGAACTGAAGATGGTTTGCCAGCTACCCTGCATGTCAACTGTATGTATTGTCTCTGCTTAACATCAAATCGTCTGGTCACATAAAGTCACTGGTGACGACACTGACATATTCTTTCTGCAATTTGTATCAAATTTAGGTTTCCAACAAACAATCCCAAAAAAACATATCTTACATTTACATAATCATACAACCCCTATATCATACAAAAGTTAAGTAGTAACACTTAAGTATCATCAAACAGCTAGTTTCATACGTATAGATTATCAGACTGTGATTTTACAGGGTTTGTCGTGAACATATTTTTTCTCATCGCAGTGGACTCCCTATTTTATCCACATGGTCGAGAGAATGTTCGAACGACAAATTATGAAAACCTTTGTAATGAACTGTTTATCATCTACATACCACTACCTGTTATATTCCTTTATTCATCAAGGTGGAGGTGAGAAATATTGAACACTGGTGACAAACAGTGGAGGTGAGAATATTGAACACTGGTGACAAACAGTGGAGGTGAGAATATTGAACACTGGTGACAAACAGTGGAGGTAAGAATATTGAACACTCGTGACCAACAGTGTATGCTAAAATATTGAACATTTCTGACCAACAGCGGAGGTTAGAATATTGAACACTTTTGACCAATGTTGGAGGTTAGAATATTGAACACTTTTGACTAATGTTGAAGGTTAGAATATTGAACATTTCTGACCAACAGCAGAGGTTAGAATATTGAACACTTTTGACCAATGTTGGAGGTTAGAATATTGAACACTTTTGACCAATGTTGGAGGTAAGAATATTGAACACTGGTGACCAACATTGTCGGTAAGACTGTTGAACACTGGTGACCAACAATGTAGTTCAGAATATTGAACCCTCGCGACCAACAGTGGAGGTAAGAATATTGAACACTGGCGACCAACAATGTAGTTCAGAATATTTAACACTCGTGACCAACAGTGGATGTTAGAATATTGAACACTTTTGACCAATGTTGGAGGTTATAATATTGAACACTTTTAACCATCTGACAGGTTGCAGTGTTGAACACGTTTGACCAATGTTGGACGTTAGAATATTGAACACTTTTGACCAATGTTACAGGTTGCAATGTTGAACATTTTTGACCAATGTTGGAGGTATTTTTATTTAGAATTTAGAATACGTAACTTAATGTTAACTTAACCGGCCGATCTGGAAAATATATCATATGATTCTTACTTCGAAAGTTAGAAGTAGTAGGTATACTCGTCGTTGTTGTAGTTGATGCTAGCGTTATGGGTTGTGGTAAAGTTGTGGAAGGTCTTTTATTATTGCAAAAGTTATCTTTGCAACACCCTGAGCCTATTGCTGAAAACTGTCTCTTTCCCACTACGCCGTCCACAGGAATGTGTAGAAAGGAACCTTGACAGTCCTGTAGGAAAATAATTCAGTGTAAGATTGAAAAAGAATGCAGTCCTATGTACATTTTTTGTTTTGTTTCATGGGTCCACAAAACATAAAACAAAAACAACCAATAAACAAACAAACAAATTAAACATTTGTCCACCATTTATCTTAATTGCAGCTTAAAAAATGAGCGGAGATTTTTCTTCATATTAACAACCCGTGCTTGTATTAATTAAATCAGAACATTTAATTATGAATCAGAACATCAAAGTATCCATGTTAATTAACAGTTTGATTAAGATGCGAATACAGTATATAATTGTTTACCTTTATTTCGTGCCCACACCGACTTGTCCACAGCAACGATCCAGATAGGGCACTTTGTTTCGTTCCTATATAGCATTGCTAATAATACAATGGGAGAATCAATATCAGATTACATCTTTAATATGAAATAATGTTCTATATTGAATATCGTGAACTTATTTCAATGAATACATTAGTTGTATATTTAATACACGTGTTTATAAATATTTTACTTATGCTTTCTTAACTCTAACATCACTTACATGTTTCTGTGTAAGGTAGCATATAACCTTAACAGGAACACAAATCACAGTTATAAAGTGTGAGGTAGCATATAACCTTGCCTCTAACACAAATCACATGTATAAAGTGTTAGGTAGCATATAACCTTGACTCTAACACAAATCACAGGTATAAAGTGTGAGGTAGCATATAACCTTAACTTTTACATAAATCACAGGTATAAAGTGTGAGGTAGAATATAACCTTAACTCTAACACAAATCACGGTTATAACGTGTTAGGTATCATATAGCCTTAACTCTAACACAAATCACATGTATAAAGTTGTAAGGTAGCATATAACCTTCACTCTAACACAAATCACAGGTATAAAGTGTGAGGTAGCATATAACCTTGCCTCTAACACAAATCACATGTATAAAGTTGTAAGGTAGCATATAACCTTAACAGTAACACAAATCACAGTTATAAATTGTTTGGTAGCATATAACCTTAACAGGAACACAAATCACAGTTATAAATTGTTTGGTAGCATATAACCTTAACAGTAACACAAATCACAGTTATAAATTGTTTGGTAGCATATAACCTTAACAGGAACACAAATCACAGTTATAAATTGTTTGGTAGCATATAACCTTAACAGGAACACAAATCACAGTTATAAAGTGTGAGGTAGCATTATAACCTTAACTCTAACACAAATCACAGGTATAAAGTGTGAGGTAGAATATAACCTTAACTCTAACACAAAGCACAGGTATAAATTGTTAGGTGGCATATAACCTTAACTTTAACATAAATCACAGGCATAAAGGGTGAGGTAGCATATAACCTTAACAGGAACACAAATCACAGTTATAAATTGTTTGGTAGCATATAACCTTAACAGGAACACAAATCACAGTTATAAATTGTTTGGTAGCATATAACCTTAACAGGAACACAAATCACAGTTATAAATTGTTTGGTAGCATATAACCTTAACAGGAACACAAATCACAGTTATAAATTGTTTGGTAGCATATAACCTTAACTGTAACACAGATCACAGGTATAAAGTGTTAGGGAGCATATAACCTTAACAGTAACACAAATCACAGCTATAAAGTGATAGGTAGCATATAACCTTAACTCTAACACAGATCACAGGTATAAAGTGTGAGGTAGAATATAACCTTAACTCTAACACAAAGCACAGGTATAAAGTGGGAGGTAGCATATAACCTTAACAGGAACACAAATCACAGTTATAAAGTGTTTGGTAGCATATAACCTTAACTTTTACATAAATCACAGGTATAAAGTGTGAGGTAGAATATAACCTTAACTCTAACACAAATCACGGTTATAACGTGTTAGGTATCATATAGCCTTAACTCTAACACAAATCACATGTATAAAGTTGTAAGGTAGCATATAACCTTCACTCTAACACAAATCACAGGTATAAAGTGTGAGGTAGCATATAACCTTAACAGGAACACAAATCACAGTTATAAATTGTTTGGTAGCATATAACCTTAACTCTAACACAGATCACAGGGATAAAGTGTTAGGTAGCATATAACCTTAACTCTAACACAAAGCACAGGTATAAATTGTTAGGTGGCATATAACCTTAACAGTAACACAAATCACAGTTATAAATTGTTTGGTAGCATATAACCTTAACAGTAACACAAATCACAGTTATAAAGGGTTAGGTAGCATATAACCTTAACTTTTACATAAATCACAGGTATAAAGTGTGAGGTAGCATTATAACCTTAACTCTAACACAAAGCACAGGTATAAATTGTTAGGTGGCATATAACCTTAACAGTAACACAAATCACAGCTATAAAGTGATAGGTAGCATATAACCTTAACAGGAACACAAATCACAGTTATAAAGGGTTAGGTAGCATATAACCTTAACTGTAACACAGATCACAGGTATAAAGTGTTAGGTGGCATATAACCTTAACTTTAACATAAATCACTGGTATAAAGTGTGAGGTAGCATATAACCTTAACTCTAACACAAATCACAGGTCTAAAATTATTGTTTAATATCGTCCTCACATCTAGAACTCGCGTAGTGACAAGAAAACCACAAGGCACTAATATGAGCATTCTTAAAAACATCAATCTTCATATCAAAAAAAGAAAAGGATATTTCCCCGTGACATCCTAATAGCCACCTTAACAAACTATATAGTCTAACGCTCTAGGGTCCTACACGTACCTCATGTACAGAG